AGGCAACAGAGGGTTGTAGTTAATGGAATATATTCGAAGCTTGGACTTGTCACCAGTGGGGTACCTCAGGGATCTGTACTTGGACCCATTCTCTTTAATATTTTTATTAGTGATATTGCAGAAGGTCTTGATGGTAAGGGATGTCTTTTTGCTGATGATACTAAGATATGTAACAGGGTTGATGTTCCAGGAGGGATAAGCCAAATGACAAATGATTTAGGTAAACTAGAAAAATGGTCAGAATTGTGGCAACTGACATTTAATGTGGATAAGTGCAAGATAATGCATCTTGGACGTAAAAACCCAAGGGCAGAGTACAGAATATTTGATAGAGTCCTAACCTCAACATATGAGGAAAGGGATTTAGGGGTGATTATTTCTGATGACTTAAAGGTAGGCAGACAATGTAATAGAGCAGCAGGAAATGCTAGCAGAATGGTTGGTTGTATAGGGAGAGGTATTAGCAGTAGAAAGAGGGAAGTGCTCATGCCATTGTACAGAACACTGGCTGGGACCTCGCTTGTAGTATTGTACACAGTATTGGATACCGTATCTTGAGAAGGATATTGATACCTTAGAGAGGGTTCAGAGAAGGGCTACTAAACTGGTTCATGGATTGCGGGATAAAACTTACCAGGAAAGGTTAAAGGATCTTAACATGTATAGCTTGGAGGAAAGACGAGACAGGGGGGATATGATAGAAACATTTAAATATATAAAGGGAATCAACACAGTAAAGGAGGAGACTATATTTAAAAGAAGAAAAACTACCACAACAAGAGGACATAGTCTTAAATTAGAGGGACAAAGGTTTAAAAATAATATCAGGAAATATTACTTTACTGAGAGGGTAGTGGATGCATGGAATAGCCTTCCAGCTGAAGTGGTAGAGGTTAACACAGTAAAGGAGTTTAAGCATGCGTGGGATAGGCATAAGGCTATCCTAACTATAAGATAAGACTAGGGACTAATGAAAGTATTTAGAAAATTGGGCAGACTAGATGGGCCGAATGGTTCTTATCTGCCGTCACATTCTATGTTTCTATGTCTATGTTTACCCTTGGAGAATTGGTAATATATGTACCATTTTTAAAGAAAACATGAGTGAGCAGGCAAAACACATTTCTTTTATTTCTTATGGGTTTCATATTTAACGGTAAATTATAACAGAATGGCACAATCATAAAACAAAACATGGCAACAATGAAAAAAATGAAATGACCCCTGTTCAAAAGTATTTAAACCCTTAGTTCTTAATACTGTGTATTGCCGTCCTTAGCATCAATGACCGTGTGCAGTCTTTTGTAATAGTTTGTCTATGAGGCCCCTAATTCTTGCAGGTGGTATAGCTGCCCATTCATCTTGGTAAAATGCCTCCAGGTCATGCAACGTCTTGCACGTTTGAGATCTCCCCAGAGTGGCTCGATGATATTAAGGTCCAGAGACTGTGATGGCAACTCCAGAACCTTCACCTTTTTCTGCTGTAACCACTGGAGGGTCAACTTTGCCTTGTACTTAGGGTTATTGGCATGCTAGAAAGTCTAAGAACGTCCCATGCCCAGCCTTCATGCAGCAGTCTGCCAGTATTTTCTGATAACAGGTTGCATTCATCTTGCCATCAATTTTCACAAAATCCCCAATGCCGTTGAAGCTCACCCTCGCTTCCCCCCAAAAAACATCAGTGTGCCACCACCATGCTTCACAGTGGTGATATTCTTTTCACTAAAGGCCTTTTTGACCCCTCTCCATACATAGCGCTTAGACCATAAAGAGACCATAAAGTTGTATTTTGGTTTTGTTACTGCAAATTAAAGTGTGCCAGAAGCTGTGAGATGTGTCAAGGTGTTGTCCGGCATATTGTAACCGGGCTTTTTTGTGGCATTGGCACAGTAAAGGCTTCTTTCTGGGAAGTCGATCATGCAGCTCATTTTTGTTCAAGTATCACTGTCTTTTTCCAGAGCAGCCTGTATTTCTCCTGAGGTTACCAGTGGGTTTTTCTTTTTATCCTGAATAATTCTTCTGGCAGTTGTGGCTGAAATCTTTCTTGGTCTACCTGACCTTGGCTTATTATCACGAGATTGAACAGTACTGACTATAATTTTCCTGGCTTTGGATATCTTTTTATATCCTTTTCTATCTTTAAAAAGTTCCATTACCTTGTTACGCAGGTTTTTTGACAGTTATTTTCTGTTTCCTATGGCTCAGTATCTACATTGCTAACAAACTCATTGACAATTTATACACAGGTGAGCGCTAACAAACTCATTGACAATTTATACACAGAAACTAATAGAGATTTGAAAAGCCACAGGTGTGGGAAATTAACCTTTAATTGCCATTTTAACCTGTGTGTGTCACCTTGTGTGTCTGGAACAAGGCCAAACATTCAAGGGTATGCAAATATTTGGTATGGGCTTTTTGGGTTATTACTGTTATCATTATGATTTACAAAGGACCCAAACAACTATGTGATGATACATGGCTTCGTATGATCACTATCCTTCTATAAAAGAACATTTTGTGCATAATCAGTCATATTTTCAAAATCAATGCCACAATTTCACAATTTCTGCCAGGGAATGCAAACTTTTAAGCACAACTGTAAGTAATCACCTTGTGTTCATGTAGCTCCCTTATGCAAGTAATAAAGATCATATGTGTGATTGTGAATTCTGTCATCAAGTGCCGATACCATCCACATATATTATATATAGTTTTTAAAGGACACATTATATATATAACAAAACATTATTTAAAATAAAAGAAACATTTTTGACAGTTTTGCTCATAATACATTCAATATAACTATTGCAATTAAAACAATACTGAAAACAAATTAAATTAGTCTTGATTGTTGAAATGCTTCCTATGCCTATTATTATTATTTTATTATTTATATAGCGCCATCAGATTCTGTAGCGCTGTACAATGGGTGGGCTAACAGACATGTAATTTTAACTGGACAACTGGACGTACAGGAACAGAGAGGTGGAGGGTCCTGCTCAATAAGCTTACATTCTAGAGGGAGTGGGGTATAGTGACAAAAAGGGTAAAAGTAGGGGTATGAAGTAGGTTGTTAAAAAAGTATTCACTGAGGGCTTAGTAGGTAATTTTTACAGTTGCAGGAGAGGAGTCATGGGGGTGGTGGATAAAAACCTGCTAACAGTTTAATTGATATGCTTTCTTGAAGAAGTGAGTTTTCAATGATTTTTTGAATGAGCGGAGACTGGGTGAAAGTCTTATGGAGAAGGGAAGGGTGTTCCACAAAAGAGGTGCAGCCCTGGAGAAATCTTAAAGGCGAGCATTAGAGATGGGAGCACGGACAGAGGATATACGTAGCTCTTTGGCAGAGCGCAGGGGCCTCGATGGGACATACTTGTGTATTAGGGAGGATAGGTAGGTTGGAGCAGCATTATGTAGGGACTTGTAAGCAAGCGCGACAGAATTTTAATTTGAGCCCTATATCTAACTGGAAGCCAATGCAGGAACTGACAGAGCACGGAGGCGTGGGAGGTGCGAGCGGACAGGAAAAAGAGCCTTGCCACTGCATTCATTATAAAATGCAGAGGTGCAATCTGGTAACACGTAAGACCACTGAGAAGGACGTCAATACATTTTTGGAAGAATTGGGCAAAATATTGCAAGTAGTAAATTGTGATTTTGAAGCTAAACTTTTTCAAAATTTGGTATGCTGAGACTCTAACTTTAATAACAATTACCGAATACAAAATATTTACACAAAAGTATATATTTATAGAAAACAGATCTCCCAAGAAATCTAACTCAAAGCATTTTACCACTTTTCATTTAAAGGGGATCTATCACTTTTAAATATTAAACTGAAGAAAAGAGTTAGGCTTACACCTATAGGCCATTGGAGTGAAATAAAAAAACTCAATCTATTTAAATATGCATATGGATTTGGGCTAGTGCACACGTAAGTCTTTTCTTTGTATTTTTTATTGTATGTATTGGGGCTGATGTGTACTATGATCATTGCTGTCGCGCAGGAGTAGTGGAAATTTTAGTGTAGGACTTATATTTGTGTATATGTATTTACTTTGAAGTAGTTCACTAGTATATATATTCATTATGAAATACTGATCCAGACTGCATTGGAATTTCACTGTCTCGTGGCCAAGCCAGACATTGACAGCTGGTCAAGCCGGACGTTAAAAGTTGACAAAAGGCAGAGCTCCGCAGTCAACTTTTCCCAGTAGTCCCAGTACACATCCCAGTAGACATCACAAGTGTGGGATTTGGGCAGGGCTCTATGGAGACATGGCTACTGGCAAATGAAGTGTCAGGAGCTTACAAGGACCAACAAGAAGACGATGAAGGCGACTGTGAGGGACAGCTCCAGGTAAATAAAACTTACCTTCCTCTGCATACTGTGGCCACCAGACCCATATGGAATTGGTCACTTAAGGGGTTCTTTGCAAAATATGAACTTGTCACTCTGAAAGTGACAAATTAGTTCTATACTCCTACTGTCCCTGGGTACAGCAATAACCCCATGGAGACCTTTACCTAATTTTTGAGACATTTTACGGTTCTGTTTTGAGTTCTTAGGCAATAGGGACAGCAGGCAGCAGCATAAAAATGGGAAAGCTGAAACTGTAACTGAAAGAACCCCATGTTGTAGAAAAAAAAAACAAAAAAAAAAAAACAGGCATGCAATATGCCAGTCAAAGTTTGTAATTGGATAAAGTATTGCTTTAACAAGGGAAGGAAAAAAAACATTATCTCATTTAAGCAAACATTCACATGCAAGTTTATGTAACACAGCAACTTAGCCTGCACCCCACCTCCTACCTATACCAGTTACCATAGTCCAATATTTACAATGCATGCTATGTTTGTACATTAGCCAGTGCAAACTTGATCATGAAGTAATAAAATGATGCTCCTCTACACTATTTGACAGTATATCCTCCAAATTCCATTGTAGCGTGATAGCTTGTGTGAAGAAGCTGGGAGGGTATCAGGCGCCGTGACGTCACGAGCAGGCTTGGGCTCGCCGGCCGGTAACATTAGAATGTCAATGTATACAGTTGCGGTTGCTAAGAGCTGAGGAGTGAGGGAGACTGAAGCTTTGTTACTGAGATACAATGCTAGCTGATCCTGGGAACACCATGAGAGACCCTAACCCAATCTACCAGGGGAGATACAAAGATCACTTCCCGGACATCCGCTCTGTGAGTACCCTGCAGCCTATGGACCATACTACATATTGATTATATTTGGTGGCAGGGTAACTTCCTTGGAATGGATGGCGATTATGTACAATAAATAATAACCAGAATAAAACAAACGTCATCGTTTTACGCCCCCTTTTGCACTTCTTGGCATGCTCCACGGTGGGGTTATGTACTAAACTGGGTGAGATTAATTAAAAACAAAATTGCAAAGTTTAGACAAGAATGGGCATGGTAGAAATTTAAGTGCACTGGGGGAATATTCCCTTTTCTGACATTATTGACTTAAAATTTTGCACTTCATTTATCAGATCATCACATTTCACTGTTTATAAAATAAACATGGTAGAAAGAGAAAAACTGAAAAAAAAAATCATATAATAATTGCACATGAAGCCCTCACTGTTTGCAAATGGCTTTCAGCTATTTGTAATTTACCTTATTCACTCCTAGTTGAGTGTGTCCTTATAGATCAGAGGTAGGCAGGCATACTATACAAGAATAGAGGGCCCAAGGAAAATTAAGAATTGAACAGGCATTCCTTGATGGAGTTGCTCCTATCTTCTGTTGCAGAGATAATGGATGAAGAAACATGGAAAAACGTAAACTGTTTCAAAATACAAATAATACACATTTCTTCTCTCCCTGGGTTGCATTAAATTTTCAGCTTCTTTAGGGACTATGAAATGATTGAGTGTTCTCAGCCAGTCCCAACTCTTTCACATTTTAAAAACAAAAAAGTAAGAAAGCATATATATATATATATATATATATATATAAAAAAAAAAAATAAGAAAAAATCCTGCATTTACCGAATGAATGGAATATGTAAGTGAGCTTTCCAGAGTAGTTTCATTCATGAAAATAAATGAATGAAGCTATTATGCAAGCAGTTCAAGCCAGCTACTCACTAGCCAGTGCAAGCTATCGTTTGGCAGCAGTAGCAGGATTATTAACTAAAACTCAAAATTTTTGTGAATTAAAAACCAATGCAAAATACGGGCAAACATAGCTGATTTGGAGAAATTTTAAAATGCAGCTCTAACCGTAGATTTTAGTGAATAATCCAGTGGATCTTTCCGTATGGAACTATAGAGGCATGACAAAGTATTTGCTCATTTTTGGGCAAATCACTTGGAAGTATAGAGGAATCCCTGTACCTTAAGCCTTAAGGAGCAGCCAGGCTTATCATAGCTTGCCTTATTGTTTTTTTTTCTTTTCATTTTTTCACCATGAATTTGAAGCCACATGTGTGTTCAGCTGCAGCTCTCATAGAAATACCCCGAGAGACATCATCATTAATTTCCTCCATTTCCATACTAAGGAGGCTCTGATGAAGAGGGGCCGAGAGGGACCGATCCGGCATGATGGTAATGTCCTCTCCCTCTACCAAGTTCTAGCCCCTTCGACCGTACAGCGGCGGAGGGACTGGCGGCCGATTACTGGAGCGCTGAGGGGAGCAGGCCTTAAATATGCCTGGGGCTTCCCCTTCAAACTGATGGTATTCCGTGACGGGAGAGCACACATTCTCGTACCTGGTGGAGATCCACAGCGTTTCCTCCAGGGTCTCTGGATCCAGGCACCTCCAGACCTGCCGACGGTTGCGATGTACCCGGGAGAGCTTCCACAACTACAAGCAGATTGGCGTGAAGTGGGCCCACGAAGCCGCCGCTGACGTCCTGAGGGTATCGTATTCTACGGCCTTTCTCTGGGGTTTTTTCACTTCTTACTGGGGGGGGGGGCACCGCCTTTGTTTTTTTGGGGGGCCCCTGGTTATTGGTGATCCCGCACATGGGTGCGCCATGTTTCCCACGGCCGTCCCACCTGTTTGGCGCGGAGACGAGGTTCCCACACTGGGTTATTTTTCCTTTTGTATCCTCTTTTGCTTTGGGCAGACAGGACCGTTTGGGGATCAGGGGATTAGGGGAACCCTGCCTTTTTTGTGCTGTTCTTTTCGTTTTTCCCATGCAGTAAAAAAGTGAAAAAGGAAGAGGGGTAAAGGGGAGGAAAACAGAAAAGAGAGAAAAGAACAGCCCCCCTAGGCAAACCAGAAAAAAAAAAAAAGGAAGAAAAAAGAAGGAAATATTTCTGGAAAGTTAATCTAAAAATACCACAAAAGAAAAAGTGAGAGGAAACAAAGAGCTCCATTTTTCATTCCTCTACTGTTGTATTACCTTATGTTATGGTATGTTCATTTTATTATATTTGACTAATGGACACTCATGCTCCGCCTTTTTTGTGTGACGGCCGACGACCTCGAAGGGGACGATTACTTCTATACCTTTTCTTCACCACTCCGAGGCTTGGGTCGCTGGCTGAGGTCGGCTCTACCTCCCAGGAGCTACTACTGGCGCTATAATGGGAAGGTATTGGCTTCGGGCTGTGTCTGGTGTTGCCCAGCGGATCTCTGTTGGGACCCGGGTTCGGGTCATGGGGTGTCGGGTCTGCACCCCACCTTCCCCCCCTCCTTTTTTTTTTGGGGGGGGGGCAGATGGGGAGCGGGCCCCCGATACATCAATATATGCAAGCTGTTGTTGACATATGGGTTCTAATATTTTCTTTTCCTCCTCCCTTGGGTATTGGTAGTCGATATGGCAGCGACAAAGGGAGGGAAAGATAAAACACAAGAAGGAGGAGAGAAGGGAAGGAAGATAAAAGGGAAACAAGAAGGGAAAAAAGGGGGGAGAAAAAAAGGGAAGAAAAAAGAGGAAAAACGGGAGAAAGGGTTAAATGGGAAAAGGGAGGAAAAAAAAGGGAAAAGCAAAGGGAAGAAAAACACAAAAAACAAACAAAAAAAAAAAAAGGAAAGGAAAAAACAAAACAAAAAAAAAACCACATATAGGATAATGTTATGTCCACGATCCCAGTGCAGTGGTGTAAAATGTATAATCTCCTTTGCTATGTAGATCCCGTGACCTAGTAGCGTGTCTTTTGCCACAAGGGGACTGATGTTCATATCCATTGATTGTCAGGATTGTGCACTGGTCTGGGTATACCTCCCCCTATCTCTAGACATCGGGGGGCGAAGGGTATTAGAGGCAATGCTACTATGCTGAAATGTTGCACTTCCCTGTTATATTGTTGTTGTTGACTATTGTACTGCTGACAGGTCACTCGAGCTCCACTGCTCGGGTCATTATGCTGAGTTATTATTGTAAATATTAGACCCATCTGGTTGTTAGGTCCCCTTGGCTATGGTGCTTCTCCCTGAGGTTTCTCTCGTACGATTATACTACAGATGGAAGACATGGGGTGGTAAGACCTCACATGATATTTCACGCATCACACTTAAACAAACTGGGCTCCGGTACTGTGGGCTTTTACTAATGGAGGTATTGGCCGACCCTGAGGGAGAGTTCTGTTTCCTGCCGGATAGGCAAGGCCGACGGTGATTCAGGGGTCTCCTCCATTTCACCATAAGGAGGGAGGGCTATTCTGGGCTGATCTAGCGGTAGGAAGGCGCCTAGGTTTAGGAGCTCACTGACCCATTGTTCCTCCCAACATTGATCGTGGCTGGAATGTGGGAGCACGTTTCCAAAACACTCTGGCATCTGGTAAGACCAGAGATGCTTAGCGTTGGACTGAGTCCTGACGCTATCTTTTCTTTCTCTATTCTACTTTTCTTTATCTACCCCCTTTTTTTCCCCGTCTTTTTCCTGTGGGGGGGTTTGGAGGGGGTTTGGCGGGTGGATACGCTCGTGTACTTGATTGCGACCGGAGGAATTATGGAAAAGGTAAATATGGCAGAGGCCGCAATACCTCAAGATGGCGATTAGGGTCTCCTCCTTGAATGTAAAGGGTCTTAACGCGCCGCAGAAGCGTCGACTAATGTTCAAAGAATTAAAAAGACTGAAAACCGATGTGGCTTTTGTTCAAGAAACCCACTTACCCAAACAGGCCCAGTTTCGGCTGAGGGATCATGCTCCTCCTATGAAGCTAGGTCTCAACGCAAACGCAATGGTGTGGCAATCCTTGTACGACGCAGCTGTCCATTAAGTGTGAGTTCACATGAGGCTGACCCGGAGGGACGCTTCGTTATCGTCTCGGGTTCCTTGTATTCGCATGTAATTCACCTGATCAACATATATGCACCAAATCAACCGGAGCCTGTTTTCTGGACAACGCTCCGAGACAAATTATCTGCACTCCCCCACGGTCTAGTTTATGTGGGAGGCGATTTTAATGCTACTCCGTGCCCGGCCGCCGACAGGAGCTCGCGCACTGGTATCCCTAGATCACAGGGTAGGGGAGGTCAGGATAAATTACTCAAGGACTTCATTGCTGACACGGGATTGGCGGACGTATGGCGGGCTCATCACCCTGGAGATAAGGCTTACTCGTTCTACTCAGCTCCCCATGGCACGTATTCCAGGATTGACCTCTTTCTCGCTAATGCGTCGGGCATGTCTAGGATCACGGGGTCCACAGTAGGCAACATCTCCTGGTCCGATCATGCAGATGTGTCTATCACATTGGGTAACCTTTGCGCGGCTTCACCATGGACTTGGAGGCTGAACGCGTCCTTGTTGCGGGACGAAGAGATAAGGGAACAGATCCGAAAAGGGATTACTGACTACTTCGAATTGAATGCCACCCCTGACATCCATGTGGGCATGCTATGGGCGGCTCATAAAGTTGTCACGAGGGGAAATCTGATTAAACTGGCCACCAGGCGGAAGAAATTGAAACATCAGAAACTGGAGACACTCCTGGGACAACTGAGAACCCTTGAACAGAAACATCAGACAGCACCGGATGAGAGAACATTCGAACAACTGGATGCAGTTCGGAGAGACATCCGCATTTTGCTGTTGGATGACGCGGCCAGATCCGTGGTGTGGTCCAAGCGGACGTATTATGAAAGTGCCAATAAAATGGACACCCTCCTGGCCAGAACTCTCCGGCCTAAGCAGGATAGGGCCCATATCACAGCTATTAGACATCCAGATGGCACAACGAAATCGACGCCCGCCGAGATAGCCAAGGTCTTTGAAGAATATTATGCGACGTTGTACAATCACACACCTGATAATGGTTCTCATGGGGAGAGGGAAGAGGAACAGATTTTACGATATTTGGATAGACTGGGGTTGCCCAAATTGAACGGAGAAGCAGCGGGCGCGCTGGCCTCTGAGATTACGGAGGAGGAGGTTGACAGGGCTATTTCCCACCTGAAAGGTAATAAAGCACCGGGGCCGGATGGCTTTGACGGCACATATTACAAAACCTTCAGAGACGAACTCGTGCCTCAGTTGGCATGACTCTTCGAATATCTGCGCCACGGAGGACGGTTGGCTCCTGATATGTCGCTGGCTACCATTGTACTGCTGCCCAAACCGGGTAAGGACCCACTCCTACCAGAAAACTATAGGCCCATATCCTTGATTAACCATGATCTAAAGATCCTGGCAAAGATTCAAGCGGACAGGCTGAACCCACTTTTGACCACCCTAGTTCACGCCGATCAGGTCGGTTTTATTCAAGGTAGGCAATTGTTCGAAAATACCAGGCGGAATATTGACTTGATCTGGAAACAAAAGACCATGGGGACCACCACCCTTGCAGTCTCCATAGATGCCGAAAAGGCCTTTGATAGAGTGCGTTGGCAATTTCTTTTTCCGGTATTGAGGAATATGGGCTTCCCGGACGAATATGTAACGGTAACAAGAGCGATGTATCATGACGTGCGAGCACAGATCCAGATAACGGGCGCTCCACTGACTCCGTTCCAGCTGTACAATGGAACCAGGCAGGGATGCCCTCTCTCCCCCCTCCTCTTTGTGTTGGCCTTAGAACCACTAATGCAAGCCATTCGAAAACATCCCAATATTGAAGGAGTTAAGGTTGGGGCCGATGAATATAAAGTGTTGGCCTATGCGGACGACGTCCTCCTGACAGTTACGAACCCTATGGACTCTATGTTGGCAATACAGGGGGTCATAGCGGAATACAGCATGTTCTCAGGTTATAAGGCAAATATCCAGAAATCTAGTGCTATCCCGGTTTGCCTCACGGAAGCGGAGGTGGTTCGGATAAAGGAAACATATCAACTCAGGATAGAAACACACTCCGTAAAGTATTTGGGGATTCATTTTACTGCTGACCCCGACCGCTTGTACCTCGCTAACTACGCTCCGATGATTAGAGCCCTGATAGGTGACCTTGATAAGTGGACCGATAAACCCATTTCCTGGATAGGACGCATCCATTCAGTCAAGATGAACATTCTGCCACGTATACTGTTTCTATTCCAGGCTCTTCCCATCCGAGTCACAAAAACCCAACTGGCCCCTTTGCAACGTTCAATGGGGGATTTTATCTGGCAGAATAAGAGGCACAGAATTTCTCGACAAGTGCTGTACAGGCGAAAAGATAGAGGGGGTCTGGGTCTCCCAAATTTATATTTTTACTACCTCGCAGCCCAGCTTACGCAATTGGCCATGTGGCATTCCCCGCCGGAGGAGAGGAGATGGGCTGACATAGAATCTATGATGGTAGGGGTCAACGTCCCCCAATTTGCGATGTGGGTTCCCTGGGGCATAGACCCGCAATACGGAGTACTTGCCCGTCCATACTCAATTCTATTCGGATTTGGGATGCATGCCATCTCAAATACAGGCTGGCAACGTCCCCCTCCCCGATGACCCCATTCCTTAGGAATGAGGATTTTCCCCCCGGCATGGCCCCCAGAGATTTTCGCAACATCGAACGCACGGGGCTGCAACGTCTACATCAGCTATATCGAAATGGCTCGGTAATTCAAGCTACAGCAAGGGGCCCATCTAACCCCCGCAGATTTTTTCCGCTATGTCCAGATTCGCGACTTCGCCGGCAAACCTCGCATTAAGGCGGCAGCTCTGGGTCAGATGACCTTTTTCGAACGACTTTGCTCCAACGGGACCGCCCCCAAGGGTATGATTACACTTCTATATGCTCACCTGAGCGCGGAAACTGGCGAATGGGGAAGTCTGAATTACACGGATCAATGGGAAGCGGACCTCTGTGAAGTCCTGGAGGGACTAGAGTGGAAGGAGATATGGGAGGCGAATTCCACTGTCTCGATTTGTGTCACTCTACAAGAGCAAGCATGGAAAACCATGCTTAGGTGGTATACCACGCCTGTGAAACTATATCGCATGCATAAATTGGATAATGATGATTGCTGGCGGGGCTGTGGCTCTCGGGGCACATATATCCATATGTGGTGGAATTGTTTAAAACTCACCAACTTCTGGAGGTCAGTGGAAGATCTCCTGAGGCAGACGTTCAACAAACCCCTGCGTCTAGATCCGTGGGTATATCTGCTCAATAGGTCTCTCGATGGCTGGACCAGGAGAGAACAAAAGGCCAGGCACTATGACTGTACTAACTCGTTATTTTCATCAATCCCCTGATATTTTTTGGGCATCTCTCACAGTTACTGGGTCTCTTTTTAGATCAATAAGCAATGTAAGTAGCAAGTCTGCCATTGCTCATTAGAACGGAATTTGAATTCGAATGAGTATAGAGTTCTGCGTGTTATCCACCTCACTGTCTGCTAATAGAATTGTTTTTTTCTTTTTTTTTATGTCTTGTTATTACTTTTTAACTTTAAAAATGTGCTGTATTAACCTGTGACAATGTTAAATGCTGTAAGCTGCACACAGACGCTGATGTGGCTCTGTGTATTTGTTGTTGATACATGCATGACAAAAATAAATAATTTAAAAAAAACAGTACATAGAAAGCAATAGGGGCAACTGCGCATGAAAGGGTACACAGAATTAAACATTTTCAAGAGAAATTTTCCAGCTTGTTGCCTATATACTTTGCCACAAAGTTTCAGCCCCACCTTCACAACATTAAATAGCAATTTAATCCATAAAATAAAATGACTTTTTACTCAGCCAAAAGATAATATTGGTAGCTTGGTAGCTTGTTGACTGTATTTGGGAAAGCATGTTAATTCCCTAACTGGCAGAAATAGTGAGTGCAGTCCAATAAATGGTGATATATACATAATAAATGCTCCTTACACATAAATCAAATTCATCTAACACAAATATTATATGGAGAGGAGGAGATATGTCATGTCACCCTCAGAATTTGCAAAACGTGCCCAGTAAAATGTGAGATATATATTAATGCTTCTCAAAAACAAAAAAATTAATCTTGATATGATGGAATATGTCCAAAACACACAGGAGAAACAAACAACCCAAACATTATATGGAGAAACCAAACCAGACACCAAACATTATATGGAGAAATGTCACCCATATATTTTTCAAAAGGAACTCTTTGCCTAATAAATGGTCTTAAAGGACCACTATAGTGCCAGGAAAACATACTCGTTTTCCTGGCTCTATAGGGTCCTTGCGTCCCCCTCACCCTTATGGCCCCCCTCCCGCCGGGCTCTAGGGTGAGAAAGGGGTTAATCCTTTACCTTTTTTCCAGTGCCGGGCTCCATCGGCGCTGGGGACTCTTCTCCTCCTTTCCCGTCATCGGCTGAATGCGCATGCGCGGAAAAAACAGCGCACGCATTCAGCCAGTCTCATAGGAAAGCATTCTCAATGCTATCCTAAGGACGCTGGCGTCTTCTGACTGTGAAAATCACAGTGAGAAGCGCGGAAGCGCCTCTAGCGGCTGTCAATGAGACAGCCACTGGAGGCTGGATTAACCCTATTGTAAACATAGCAGTTTCTCTGAAACTGCTATGTTTACAGCAGAAAGGGTTAATCCTAGATGGACCTGGCACCCAGACCACTTCATTAAGCTGAAGTGGTCTGGGTGCCTGTAGTGGTCCTTTAAGCAGGGCCATCTTTAATATTGATTGGGCCCTGGGCAAGCATTTGATGGGGCTCCCTGACCCCCACTCCCTGACATCCCACTCCCTGACATGCAATCAAACTCTCCACTTCCCAATGCAGTAGTCGAACCATTTTCCCATGCGTGCAGAGTTGTATTTAGCACTGAGCTGTGTTTGTGTGTTTGAATGGAAGCATGTTTTTGCATGGAGTATGTTTGTGTAAATGTAGGGGTGTGTTTGTATGTGGTGTTGGTGTTTGAATGCAAGCATGCATCTATGTGTAGGTTTTTTTTAATGCTGGGGTGTGTTTATATATATTTTTGGTGTTTTACACAAATATGTGTTTGTATGTATTGTTGACGTTTCAATGCAGGACTGTGTGTGTGTATGTAGTGTTGAAGGTTGAATGCAGGGGTGTACTTGTGTGTAGTGTTGGTGATTTGAATGATGAGATGTATGCACATGTACACATACACTGCCACACACACACTGTGATACACATTCACACACACACACACACACACACACACAGAAACACATGCAGATACACAGATATAAACACTGACACTCACACTAACACACATATAGATACAGACTGACACAGATACACACACTAACACATACAGACACACAGATACACAACCTGACACACATACAGAGACATATATACAAACACTGATACATATGGATACTCAGACACACACATGCAGATACGCAGATAAAAACTTTGACTATATACAGATGCACACACAGATATACACACGCAGGTACACACACTGACAACATACAGACACGCAGATACACAACCTGACACACATGCAGATACACACAGACCACATAGAGAAACATAGATATACTAAATACAGATACACAGATATACAAACTGACAACAGAGATACACACTGACAGACATACTGACACACTGACATAGTGACACACACAGACAGACATACTGATACACACACAGAAATAGTGACACACACACTCACACACATACACACACATACTAAGACACACACAGACATACTAAGACACACACAAACATACTGACACACACAAATACCGACACACACATACATACTGACACACGAAAAGTTTACATTTTTCCACACTGACAGACATACTGACACACTGACACACAAACTGACACATACACTGACAAACTGACATGCACACACAGACATACTGACACACACAGACATACTGACATGCATAGACATACTGACACACACAGAGACATACTGACACACACACATACGCCCTGACAGACATACTGACACACACTCAGACATACTGACACACACTCAGACATACTGACACACACAGAGACATACTGACACACAGACATAGTGACACACACAGACACCCTGACAGAAATACTGACACACACAGACATACACACAGAAATGGTGACATATACACACACAGAAACCCTGACAGACATAATCACACACATACACATATACTAAGACACACACACAGACATACTGACACACACACACACACACACACACACAGACAGACATACTAAGACACACAGACACCCTGACAGACATACTCACATACTAAGACACACACAGACATACTCACATACTAAGACACACACATACATACTGACACACTGACAGACATACTCACACACATACACACATACTAAGACACACACAGACATACTGACTCACACAAATACTGACACACACATACAAAGTTTGCATTTATAAAGTCTCTCCCCAGCCCTGTCTTATGGGTTCCCTGGGGTCAACTGGCAGGCTGAGGTAGTTGGGAGTGTGAGGCTCTGGCTCCTCCTCCTTCCTACCGCGCGGCTTCATTCTATCATTCAGTCTGCTGCAGTAAAAAAAGGGGTCCCGGTCGCGCTGTTAAAGGGCCACAGCACCCGACCGGGCCTTCTTAGTGTGGGGGCTCTCGGTGCAGCCGCAGCACTGGCAGGCCCATGGGGCAAAAACATTTTTTGGGGCAGACAGCGGGGGCCCACAGGGTAGCTGCTTTGGGCCCCCCAGGAGTAAGTGCCCCGCTTTAAAGATGGCCGTGGTCTTAAGCACACATACACACACTCTCACTGATTTGAAACACACACACTAACAGACACAAACACTGACAGACACTCACTGACAGACACACTGACACACATTCCCAATGACATACACACAATCTCACTGCTTTGAAACACACACAGAGACAGACACACTCACTGACAGACACACACTGACAAACACGCTCACTGACAGAAATACTCATTGACAGACGCACAGACACTCACTTTCAATGACATATACACAATCTCACTGATTTGAAACACTTGTTGACAGACACATTCACTGATATACAAAATACTCATTGACAGACATATGTACTGACAGACATACTTACACAAAAACACACACACACACACACAAACACACTGACAGATACACGTATGCAGGGCCGGACTGGGAAAAAAATTCGGCTCTTCAATCACAGCGCCCCCCCTGAGAAGGCGGCGGGGCCAGAGAGGGTGTGTTTCGTCATGAATAATGACAAGCACGCCCCCTCTCAAAGTGAGCATGTTAGTTCAATGCGCAGAGCCCTGTTGAAGAGCTCAAGCATGGGAAAAAGGCCCTATATGTGTTCTGCGCAGCGCAAGCAAATTTAATAACATGCTTGCACTGTTTTTGCTTTTAACTTGTCTCTGGTGTCTCCATAAGTTGGATACCAGAGGACAAAAGGGCCAGGAAAGCGTATGGTGCATTTGTATGGAGCCTGCTTGTGGGATTGCATGTGTGTAGATTGAGCTGATTGTGGTATGGTATTATGTAAATAGGTCAATTTAATTCGTGTTTGTGGTGTAATATGTGTGGCTAGGGGCTGTAGAGAGAGTGTGTGTGTATAGGGGGCATAGTGTGTATGGGGGATGCAGTGAGTGTGTGCATACGGGTGTTTGTGTATAGGTGACAAAGTGTGTGTAGGGGTTGTAGAGAGTGTATGTTTAGAGAATGTTGTATGTGTATGCTTACAAGGAATGTAGTGTGTGCATGGGGGATCCAGAGTTTGTATGTCAGGAATGTAGTATGTGTAGGTGGTGCAGTGTGTGTGTGTAGGAGATCTAGTGTGTAAATGACCCAGAGTGTGTGTGTATAGAGGATTCAGAGTGTATATTTTATGTTTGGACGTATTGTATGAGGGGCACGTTTTATGTGTTGGGTGTATGTGTGAAGGGTGCAACATGTGTGTGTGAAGGGTGCAACATGTGTGTGTGAGGGGTGCAGTGTGTGTGTGTAAGAGGGGTGCTGTGTGTGTGAGGGTGTTCTTATCTGCTGTCACATTTTATGGTTCTAATTGTCTTTGTCTGTTAACTCACTAAAGGTTAATTTATACATTATATATATATATATATATATATATGTGTGTGTGTTTGTGCTGTATATGTGTGAGAGTGTTCTGTGTGTGTCTGAGGGTGCTGTGTGTGTATGAGGGTGCTGTGTGTGTGTGAGGGTGCTGTGTGGGTGTCTGAGGGTGATGTGTGTGTGTGTCTGAGGGTGCTGTGTATGTATGAGGGTGCTGTGTGTGTGAGTGTGCTGTGTGTATGAGGGTGCTGTGTGTATGAGGGTGCTGTTTGTATGAGGGTGCTGTGTGTGTCTGAGGGTGCTGTGTGTGTGTAAGGGGGTGCTAGGTGTGTCTGAGTGTACTGTGAGTAAATGTCTGATAAAATATATGTCTTTTTTTAATTTTATTTAAAAAAAAAAAAAAAACGTTATATCCCTCCCTTCTTACCTTTAGCCTGGGAGGGGGGGAGCCATGATGCCATGGAGGAGGATGCCGTGCAGGAGGATGCCGTGCTGCCTTCCCTGGTGGTCCAGTGGTGAGATCTGAGCGTTGCCGTGGTAACTGCGGCAACGCTCAGAGTCCCGCGAGAGGAACCCGGCGTAGCTGCTGGCTAGAGCTCCACCAGGTCCTCTCTCCTCTCCCTCCCCAGCCAGCGGCAGTATTACAGTGCCTGTGGGCCGGTGAGGGAGATCTTTGATCTCCCCACTGGCCCACGAAGGCACACAGCAGGGTCGGCGCTCGGGTAGTGCTGGCACTGCAGGGGCTGGCAGGGGAGATCCTGTGATCTTGGCCCACGGCCATCGCGGCCCACCAGGTATTTGCCCAGTATGCCCGATGGCAAGTCCGGGCCTGCACGTATGCACTGACAGACACTCACACACTGATAGACAAACTCACTGACAGACAAAATACATATACACACACACTGACAGACACACACATTTACACATTTTGCACACACCTCTTATTAATTTTATTTCTTGTTATTTTATTTGTTTAGGCCCATCCAGCCTCCCTACCTGGTGTGGGTCCTCTCCCTGGGGCCAGTGGGGATTTTATCCCTTTGTCCAGTGGAAATTCTATCCCTGGGGTCCAGTGGAGATTTTATCAGTGGGGTCCAGTGGGGATTTTCGCCATGGGATCCAGTGGGGATTTTCTCACTGAGGTCATATTCGGATTTTCTTTATGGAGTACAGTGGGGATCTTCTCCTTTTTAGTCCAGTGAGGATTTTCTCCCTGGGGTCCAGTGGGGAATGGATCCAGCTTATCTCTGCTCCCTTGTTTGCCCTCTGTAGTGATACTGTTGCTGAAGTGACATCATATTCTGTCTCCCGGCATCACTACAGAGGGCGTGCGAGGGAACAGAGAGGATCTGGAAACATGTCAGTGCTCCCTCGCCGCTCCCCCGCCCCTTGCCGTCCACACCGCCCTCGCCGTCTGCCATTTCTCTCCTGTTTCCTGCTGGTTATATATCAGCAGAGTCAGGGGCGGCTGGTGTCTGTCAGTAAGTGTGTGTGTTAGCAAGTGTGTCTGTCAAGTAAGTCTTTGTCTATTTGTGTGTCTGCTTGTCAGTGTGTGTATGTGTCTGCCTGTCAGTCAGTGTGTGTCTGTCAGCATTTGTGTGTGTGTTTTTGAGAGTGAGTGCCAGCGTGTCTGTCAGCAGGGCCAGCCTTTGAGGTGTGCATCACGTAGGGCGCCATGACAACAGAGGCGCCCGACGGCCAACACAGCTCACAGGTTTGGGACACCAGCATATTTAATTTAAACGATTCCCTGGTGGTCCATTGGTGCGCACCAGCAGTAGGTGTAGTCAGATCAAATCCTCTCCCTTGTGGTTCCGGCACTCAGTTAGTGAGTCACAGCACAGGTTCAGAGATTCTCAGCCTGAGCTCTAACAATATTGAAAGTCGGAGCTGCAAAGGAGTAGGTATGGCAAAGAGCTACTGATTAGCATAACATCAATATCTGTTATAAAACCAGGAAAAGGATGGTGAGCTGATTCGGGGGTGCAATGGGCCACTTGACTGGATTTGCCCCCCAGGCCTGAGGCTGCCAGCCCTCCCCTGAGCAGAGTAGGCATTTGCCATGTGGGGTAAGCATGTGCCTACTCTGCCTTGCTGAGTAAGTCTCCATCGTCCTGCTCCCCATGGTGAACCCCGCCTTCTGGCGGACCATGCGTGGAGCTGTGTGCAAATCTGGACCATGTATTGTACAGGCGGGGTAAACTTTAATGTCTGTGATGTGATGTCACCATGTGAAGAGTAGATTACCGTACTTTGCTCCATAGTTGCACTTTATTTACATCAATCAAATTGTGTATCACAAATATTTGAATGTTTTAAATCAAAAAAGGTTAGATTTCTGTACCATGTAATGTCTGTTTTTTTGTACTGCAGCAGGTTTACAAATATAGTTATGTATGCACTGAATTACCTGTCTCATAAATCTCTCAACAGCAGAGGATTACTACAACTGCTGCAGGCTCGTTATAATGTTTCTTGCGTTTGTTTATGTGCATTAAGTTTATAGTGCCGTTGCTTGTAGAAAAATAAATTAAGAATGAAGAAAAAGTGACAGAGATAAAATGCAGTTCTGATTCACAAGTCTGATCACTGTTGGGGTTAAAAATGGAAAGATCCCCGTTGACATACCCCTGAAGCTCCTCGTAGGGTTGGCGTTAAGAGTTAAGTTATGGGTTAGGTCCCTATGGGTTCCTATGGGTTTGTACATCCATGGTCACAGGGCGATTCAGAATTGAGACCAAGGGGCTTACGATTCCATTTTGTTGGGGTTGGGAGTTCATTGCAGTAGAGACAGATGAAGACACTAGTGGTATTAGGACAAAGGGACTACGTCCTCTAATTATGCAAAGGGTGTAATCATAGTGCTAAAGCTTATGATAATGGGTAGAGGAAGTATATATATATATATTTATTTTTTATTTATTTTTTTGTATTATATGTAGTGTATTTTACCTTTGGAAATGTGTTGATAATACAAAGCTCTATAGGATTTGTGTCACATGGTAAAAATAAAGAGTCTTCTTAAATTTCCTTGGTAATTATAAAACGGAAGAATATGGATTGGTCCTATGCTGCAAATGCTTTTTATTTCTTTTCTTAAAAACAGTAAATCAATGTATGCATATTTTCATGATCAGATGAATTCTTGCACATTTAATTACTTTAATTTGCAATAACAATTACTCTTTGTGCTATAACACATGCTTTTCATTGCAGGCTGGGAAACTTTTCCCCATTGGAGAGAGAGCTTCTGGCTGCTTGACTGAAATTTATCCCAGGGTATGTAAAGTGGCATGTCTTCTGTTGACCTGAGTTTGCTATTTTTGTTGACTAATTATGAAAACCTCTATATTCTTCAGTAGTTTGAGCTCTTATTGTTTTAAAAAATAACACTTTCTAGTAAGTACCTTGTACATTACATTTTAAAGTTTCGATTTTTGAGTGCACCCATGTTCAAGTGCTGAATATATGGATATTTAGGGAATTGGTTGACAATGCTAGATTAGATGACTAAAATTATTTTCTTAGCAGCACTAGAAGCAATAATGTCTCCATCTGTTTTTCAACTAAAAATGTTTGGGTTCTGTCATTTGTCCACCTACATTCTTACCTATGTTTATGGGCATGAAAGAAAAGACAGCACATTCATGATTGTACCATAGGACTGCACATTCCCCTGGCATTATAAGCCTGACAATTGCTTTAGGGTGGGTTTGGACGGTTAATTGCCATGCTGGAGAACAGAAATCACTAATATAGTTATTCGTAGATCCCAAACAAGGGAAAAAATATCCAAGGGTTCTATCTAGCTATCTATCTATCTATCTAGATCTAAACGCTTTTCATTTGCTATGAGTCCAAAATCCCAGTTTGGTACCAGAGCCATCTATCTATAAAACGTTTAGTGCTAAATGTATAGTTTTTCTTTGTGCAAAACTTTACTGCATATGCAAAAAAGCCATCTAGCGTTAACAGTAGCGTAGTAGAACTGACTTAAGTTTATCACTTTGCCCTTATCTCGCACAACACTTGTGTTAGAATAAACAAAAGGATAAAACAGGATCAGCGCTAATACACCTAACTAAAAGATATATATATATATTTAAAAGAAAATTAATGAAAGTAGGTGACACACCTTAAAACATAAGGCTCCCTCTAAGCCTGATAAACAACAGAGAAAAAAGGTAGCGCAAGAAAGTATAAAAATAGAGATGTGTTGTTTTATATATATATATAAAATTATAAATATAAAAAAGCCTTATATATATATATATATATATATATATATATATATATATATATACATACGTATATGTATATATATAAAAGGACAAACAAATAAAAAGCAAAAGAAATTTCAAATATAGGTCCAAATGTGAATTGAAATGAAAAAACTTGCCGGAAGATAAAATCTCAAAGAGTCAGGGTAGTTCCTCTGGAATGGTGTCAGATCAGAGTGTTTTTAGCAGCCATACATGCAATAGAAAGAGAGAACTGATGGTGCAGAAAATCCCAGGATAGCATAAAAGGAAATAAAAAACGTCTTTTGTCCTACTCACAATTAATAGAGCTTAACCTAGTTCTAGTCCGAATGGCGTACAGTGGTACAATCCCCACTTATAGGATACGTGAGAAAGTGTAGTTAGGCAGATGTATCATCGGTGGGAAGATCATAAAAAGTATAAAAGAGACAGCAATAGTGCTCACAGTATAAAAGGTACCAGGAGTATAAGGTTAAGAATAGGTACTCACATTTAATTGGGCAGACTAACTGCTCAATGTGTAGGTTAAAGTGTTCCGTAGAGACACTCAAAATACAAGTAATACAAAGAAAAAAACAAAAGGAAAGAATTGTGATAGTAAATCGTACAACCTGTATAGTAGTTGGTATAATCTACCACAAGCAATGTATATCTGGTGGAATAAAACACAAATATAGTGCAATACAATAAGCACAAGCACGGGGTGTGTGGTGGTAGAAAACTCACTAGAAATTAGCAGATTCAGGCATGTCTCCCTCAATATTAGGGTAATTGTGTGATTGTAGGAAATCTTCCAGCCATTGAACTCTTGGTATAGGGGTATCTTCTTGAATAACTCAAAATATAAGGAGAGAAGAGAGATAGTGCAGACTGTATAAAAGTATAACAAATGTATTTTTACAAGTTGCACTTACAGTGTGTCAGCAGATAAACAGCATGTCTCCACAACAATGGTGGTATCCAACAAGACAGCAGCAAATGTAGCAGCATTCAAAGGCACAAAACAATATTAAAAGCAAATGAAAGTCTGTGCAAAAGTAGGGTTAAAATCCAACGCGTTTCGTCCCATTCTGGACTTCCTCAGGGATGTATAGGTTAGATCTGTAGAGTGACTTCTTATATATCGGCACAGTAACATTTCAAACTCGCGGCAGCTGTTGGTGTGCGTTCTAATGTGGAACTCATTCGGCGCTTCTGCGTGTGTTCGTCACTTCCAGTTGGCGAACAACCCGGCCAGCAGTGGAATTATAACGTGTATACAAGAAATAGCACAACAATAAAAAAGCTTCATGAGAAAATTGAGTCTTATCAAGAAAAAAGACTAATTGACAAAAGAATAATAGACCATAATACAATTATGCATAATGGCATTAAGGCAAAACATGTTGGCTGTAGATACTCTTAAAGAAATATACATATGTAGATGTATCACATTAGATATATCTTTATAATGAAATTGTTTCACTTTACATTTATGTGTCTAATATAGACACTAAAAAAACTGTTAAAAAATTATAAAAATGAAAAAAATGAAAAAATACTGGAAAAAAAAATATATTTTTGCAATATTGTAATATTGCTGTATGTATATCCTAATACAGTATAGTATACAGTAAGAGAGGAATATATCAATTCTAAACCCATAAAAAGGGGAAAAATTGGAAAAAAATTTAATATGGTAATTACAAAATAGAAAAAATAATTGTAAATTTTTTACATTAGACAAACATAATAATCATGAAAGTAAAAATAAAAATGAAAATAACAATAAAAAAATAAAGAAATATGAAAATAATAAAAAATAATGAATATACATGAAAAAATAAACATAAAAAATAAAAAAATATATTCTTTAACCATAAATCACAACTGCCATATTAAGCTTTTTACAGAATATATACATATGCATAGATATCAAATACAAATGTACAGTATAAGAACATCTTTTATATAAAAGACCAGAAAATATATATATATACAACAAAGATTCTAAATCAATGTAGTTGGTATATCTGTAATTTGGAAAAAAAAGTATTAGTTTGTCCAATTACACAATAGGAAGTATATATTTCAAAATTGTACATTAAAATAAAATATAAAAAAATAGAAGAATGTATAAAAACGGAGAACTAGTCATCCCAAAGTCCCAAAGAAACCAGAATACCGTTATATGCCAGAAAAAATGGAAGAAAAGTGATAGAATTAAATAAGTCCTGCTAAATCTATTTTCTGATTAAGACCACATCTTACATTTTTCAAATTAAAGATCCATTGGGCTTCTTTGGTGTTAAGTAAAGTTTCAATGTTACCCCCTCTCCAATGTCTTTCCACCTTGTCTATTCCACACGCTAAAATGTGTTCCATTGGAATTGTGGACAAGACATACAGTGTCCGGGTACACTATGATCTAAGTTTTATTTCTTATATTCTGAAAATGTTCTAACAATCGGACGTTTAATTTGCGGTTAGTGTGTCCAATATATTGCGCACCAGAACCACACAAACAAATAAATTACGTGTGTTGTGGAGCACTGTATACATTTGTTAATATGGTAAGTTTGATGTGTGTATGAACCTATAAATGAGTTGATGATTTTCTTTTGAAAAGTACATGTGGAGCATTTACCACAACGGTTAAAACCCTGTTAAAGTTCTTTAGAAAAAATATGTGTGGATTGTATGGATATAGTTTTTTTCTGAGGGCAATAGACTTGGGGCTAATTTGTTTTTTAGATTGTCTGCTCTTTTATAGATCACTGTGGGTTTTTTGGGTAAAATTTTATTCAAAAATATATCTTTCCTCAATATGTGCCAATGTCGATTAATTATATTTTCAATATTTTTAGCTTGGGAATTATATTTGGTTATGAAAGCAAAATCAAATTGATTCTTATTTTTGAAATAATTTGTTCTGGTTTTTGTGAGTAATTCATTACGATTGGTGTTAATCAAAGAAAACTCAGCTTCTTCGATTGCTTTTAAATCGTAACCTATTTCTGTGTATCTATTTTTTATGATTTTGGACTGGGTCTTAAAGGTATCTACATCTGAACAATTGCATCTTAAGCATGTTAATTGTCCTTTTGGAATATTCCTCAACCAAGAAGGGTGGTGAGAAATAGAATAATCTATGGCTGTATTAGTCAGTGCTTTTGAAAAAAGTCTTAATTTTAAGAATATTATTCTCAATATAGATAGTTAAATCGAAAAAATCTATAATCTCTGTATGACAAGTAGAAGTAAATTTCAAGTTGTATTCATTATGATTGATATATTGGATGAAATTGTCAAGGCTGGTCTGATCCCCCTCCTAAATAATAAGAACATTATCTATGTAGCGTTGCCACAGGACAAGACTCCCCCCAGCGTCTGACCCAACCCAACATGTCGAGATTCCCAATGGGAGACATATAGGTTGGCAAAGCTGGGGGCGAACCTTGTTCCCATGGCAACACCATATAGCTGCAAAAATATTTGTTATCAAACCAAAAAAATTTCCTCGTTAAGACAAAATATATACATTCAACAAGAAATTCTATCTGCATGTTATTTATTGTAGAATGTTGGTTTAGAAGATCCTTAATTGCCGATAGTCCCTTTTGGTGCAGGATATTAGTATATAGTGAGAATACGTCTACCGAGGCTAAAATATAACTAGGTTTCCACTTTATTAGTTGTAAATCATTTAATAGATGCTTTGTATCTTTTATATATGAAGGTATAATGGGTACATATGGTTGTTGAAAAGTGGTATAATCCCCACCATGGATTATTTTGCAGTAATCCTCACTGGAACTTAAAATTGGATACCAGGTAGAAAAAAATAAAAAATTAAATAATAAAAAGTAGCATGGCACACTCACAGTGGAAAGAGGCCAAAATACCTTTATTAAAATACAATGTAAAAGAAACAGTTTAAAACATCCACAACGCGTTTCACCAAAGTGGCTTTCTCAAGTGGAGGTAGAAAAATCAGACCTGGTAGGCTTAGGTTTATATAGGGAATGATGGTGTGGTATCGTTAAATTTGGCGCCCAAATGACGTCATGATTAATATTAGAATTTTTTTTAAAAAGATGAAAAAAAGGTCTAGAATCGTAGTAGACCATTATGGGGACTAGTGAGAAAAAATTGGAAGCAAAACAAAGCTTCTAAAGGTGAAAAAAATCACGTGACCGCGGCTATTTTGAATAATTTCAGGCCGTGTCACAAGACCGCGCGCAATTGGGCATGGGAAATGTAGTGCGGCCGGAATCAGGTCGCATCTACAAACTACAAAAAAGAGGGAAGCTCCTCCTAGAAGGGGCAGGGAGCTAGTAATGAATATCCTCCTATACTAAAATGGAGGATAAGTAGCATTATGACTCCACATGCTAGCAGCCATGTTTTTGGAGTCCATTAATAAGGAAACCATATGTGTAAATGAAGGGGACTTGGCAAATAGAAAAAGGGTGTGAATAATACAAACAATAGCATATATCAAAAATAAGAGGGCAGTACTTAATATAAACAGATAATATATATCTTAATATATATAAATAATTAATAAAAATGTATCAGATAGAGACATATCAGAGATAGGTAAAGCACGTTATTGAAGTTGGTAAAAGGGAGAGGATATACATACATAATTGTAAAAAAAAAAAAAAAAATAAGGCAGTTATAAGAAATTGAAAAGATCAAAATCAACATTAAGACCATCTGGCATAATAGTTTTTAAAAGGAAAACCCAATATATTTCTTTTTTGCCAAGAATTTTATTAAAATCACCACCTCTCCAAGGAATTTTACATTTTTGTATACATATACATTTGAAAAGTTTGGGGTTTTTATTATGTCTTAAAAAGTGTTTGGATACAGAATGGTTGGGATAACCCTTAGTAATATTCTGGCAGTGTTAGGCCATTCTTGTTTTTAGGCACCTTGAGGTAATTCCTACACATTGGAGGCCGCATGGGCACTCCAATAGGTATATGACATGTTTGGCGTTTCAGCATATAAGATCTTAGATAGAATAGGACTTTTTAGTATTATTAGATGCAAAGTGAGTGGTTTCTGATCTTATGCTGGGATCTGTTCTTTTACATACAATACATTGATTTGGATAAGAAGGACCCGGTTGACCCAGTTATTGTTGACCCGTTTTTTTGTGTAATTCTTAGTAAGGATCGTTCTAAAATTTGGGGCACCTCTAAAAACAACATTGGGTCTATCTGGAATAAAATCTTTTAAAACTTCGTCTTGTTTTAATATGTGTTTTTTTAATAATTCTTTTGACCAGGTTACTTTTATCTTTAAAGTTAAATATAACCGGCATAAAGTTAGAATCTTTTTTTTGTCTCTAATCTTGCATTCTAAAAGTTCTTTCCTGTCTTTTTTTTGTGATGGTCTCTAGAGCATTGTTGAGATTTCCCAAAGAGTGATTTTTGTTGGTGAATTTGTTTTTTAATTCTAAGGCTTGTTTTTCAAAGTCTGTGATGCGGGAACAGTTTCTAGTTATATTATCTAAAACTATGTACATAGACGAAGCACTCAGGCAACTAAATGATCAAAACGTATACAATAAATTAACCTCAGATCCCACTCCCACCATTACAGAAACTCTCAGAACATTTTTAAATACTGGTTTGGAGTCTAATATTTTAACTAAAAAAGAATATGACTATTTAAATGTCCTTTGTCCAATAATTACTGTTATCTAGTTATCTATTTACAAAAATGAGACCAATCCCCCAGGTAGACCTATTGTCTCCGGGATGAATTCTATACTGTCTGTTGTATACTAATTTATCATATTGAATAATGCTCTTTGTTTTGACTAATTTTTTAAATTTTTTATTACAGCCCATCACCCCACCAGTGGTTCAGAAGTTTCTAAATACAAGGCGTCCTGGTCCGGGTTCTCAGACTGTATTCTATGGCAGAGCAAATGATCCCAATATTGGAAAATTCATGACACATGGAGTGAGCACTCGCTCCTCATACAGTGTAAGCATTTACAGGTTTATTAAACACAATAATAGGTGAAAATACTTATGTCCTTGTTATGAGTGGTGTTTTATTTTTAACTTTAATTTATTTTAAATTTGGTAATGCTCTGCAGTGTAAAACTATAATAAAGTCCAAATGCTAAAAGTAGCAAATAGCTAACTACTAGTATATACCATAAAGACAATCAATAATATATAGTTTACTAACCCTTTAACCAGGCATTTTTAGGCCTTTGGTTTCCTATGTAAAGTACATCCATCTTGCATAAATATCAATTCATTATAACTAGAAAATGCACAAATATAAAGGCACTATGTCATCAAAAAGTATGAAAAATACCCACAGATTTGTGAAAGGCAGATAGTTGTACATTAAAGGGACACTGTAGGCACCCAGACCACTTCAGCTAATTGAAGTAGTCTGGGTGCTGTGTCCCTTTTGCACTTAGTGCTGCAATATAAAACACTACAGTTCAAGAGAATTGCAACGTTTACATTGCAGCTCTAAGTCTATCAGACAGTGACATATTTAGCAATTTTAACTACATATTGGATTTATCATGGCAAAGTGGAGATAGGAGAATGTGTTTTTTTTTTTTTTTTTTATCATCGTTTTCTTAATTTTGGGATGGAATTGCTTAAAGGTACCTTATCAGTTGTGTCTAATTTGTCAAAATTTATATTTAAATACAAGTAAGCCTGGAACTTTAGAGTAGGATTGAAGGCACACTACAGGCACTCAACCATTTAATTGAATTTATTATAGTGCCTGAAGTCTGCTGGCACTGTCCCTCCATTCAATCTTAAATCAGTTTTGAGCTATTAATACTGAATAAGGGTCACTGGCCACCCACAGGCTGGCACCCTACTGGAGGTATGGCAAAGGCAGAGCTTGCACACTTAGTTCTAGCCATACCAATGGCTGAAAGTGGTTAGATGGCAGTCTCAGTCAATCTCAGTCTTCCTATTGCTGCTCAAGCTTATTCTTCCTCAATTGCCCAAGCAGCACATAGGGGATGGTCTGCTGTGGACTGTCTTTAGTATTAAAACATTAAAAACAGTTGAATGCTGAATGGTAGGACAACAAGAGAGGTTGTCAATCTTGTCCTTAGTGACCTGAAAATCTTCATCTTTTCAGTCATCCACCAACACCTATTTTACATTTCTCACCTATCAGTGACTTTTCTTATTTTTATTTATATATAATTTGATTGTTATGAAAACATAATGTACTTATAACAGACCCCATCAAATTCTGTATGAGCTTATAGCAAGGTAGTTCTACACATTTTTACTAACGCAAAAAACATTAGTTTTTATATTATCTATTATTTACTTTTCAGGCTGGCTTATTAGTAAACCCACGGCCCAAATCATTATTCCAGCAAAAGCAAACTGAAAAGAAGGAGTCGTTATATTTCAGCCATCAGTGGAAACCTCTTGGAAAATCACACGACCAGACAGCAGCTTTCCCTTCTTACTTAGACCTGAATGGATTTCCATTTGGACAAACAATCAGAAGAGGTTTGATAATTACGTTCTCTCGAACATGATTTCATGTCCATTTTTTTTCCAAATTTTAGAATGATTTGACTTCTTACTTAGAGTCTGTTGAGTTTTGCTCTCCGTTTCATCTACATCAACCAGTGGACTCCTTGTGTGAAGGGATTGCTCATTGACCGTGAGCATGAGCTTATTTAGCTGAGAGCATAATGCTCCCACATGTGTGGCTAATGTAGCAGAGTTGAGGAGTGGGTTTTTTTTTTGTAATGTTCCTTTAATTCTTATATTCTGTTATTTAGGCCAATGTACATACTGTTATTGCTGCATATTCTTCACTTAAAGTGACACTTTAAGGTACTTTGCACTTAGTGAAACTGGAATGTTTACATTGAAGCACTAAGTCTGCATCCAGATTCGCTTCCTGGATGTTAATGGACTTTTGGACTGGAAACTGATGATGGACGTCCACATGCTCTGCAGGAGGACATCCAACGTCAGCTATTTACCCATAGGAAAGCATTGATTCAATACTGTCCTATGGGGAGAGCCAATGCACACACATTTATTCACTGCCTGGGGTGGGCGCGAGTTAGGGGGAAGACAGAAGGAACTTAAGTGCCAGGAATACAGCTTTGTATTCCTGGTACTACAGTATCCCTTTAAGTAAAGAATAGTATATGCAGTGACATAACTACCAGGGGTGCAACGGTTACTATTGTGACTTGACATTGGAGTTCTGCATATCAAGGTGGCAGCACAAGCCAGGCAGATACACCCTCTGGCAAAACCATTATGTAGTATATTGATAATTTGGTGAAATATACAAAATATACCGGGTTACTGTGTTAGTGCTCTCATTCATTCAGTGAGCACCTGACTGGAAGCATGTTTAATACATGTGGTCAGCAGCACCAAGGGACCGTCACGGATCATACCCCTCCTGGACTACCAGGAATTATATTTACACTTCCTGAAAGGTAAGCAGGAGGGGGTAAAGACATGATTGTTTGTTTTTTAAATAATATTAATAACATATTATTTGCAATCTTATAATATATTAAACACACAATCACACTCAACCAACTCCACGCAGATTGCATTTAGCCAAACTCCACACAAAGTCATACTTAGCCAGCTCCATGCACAGCCAATTCGACACACACATTTAACACTGAGAAATCCACCACAATCACACTCAGCCAATCCCTGTACAATCACACTAAGTCATCACACACATTCCACTCAGGTGTATTGCTTAGGATTTAGCAATGAGGGGTGTCTTTTTATTCTTGCAATGGGGTCCAGTGGTTCCTAGTTATGCACCTGACTACATGAATCCAAATTATATGTTATGTTAAGTTAATATTTTGCTTGGTTTTAATTTTCTTTTGCGTTTTTGTCTGATTTTCCTGATATTTCCATGTAGGTTTATCAGCAGGAGCAGTTCTAAATCCTCCTAAGAGCTATCAAGAACTTGACGAAGAGTCAAAGAAAGGACATGAGTTGTATGTGGTGACACATAATGATTATAATGTTGGTGAGTGTAGTTATTGATAAATAGTTTTACAATTTAACACAAGTCAGTTGCTAACTTACATATCATTTAAAGGACCACTTCGGGGACCAAAACAGCTTCATCATAATGAAAGGAGGTCCCAGGTAACTTTTTACCTTACTGGGTTAAAACGACAATGAACAGTTTAACCCCAAATTCTGCAAAACAGTGCCTGATTGCTCTACCCCTGCACTTACTCTGAAAGTTCAAGGGGTCACTGATAGGCTCTTCATTCAGAAAAGTGTGTGAAAATGATATCTACCTTAAACAGTGCACAATGAAAAGGTTTAGCCCCAAACAACCATTTATGTATCATAAAGCTCAATTATAGTCTCGAAACAGGTTGCGCCTATTAGTAATCAAAAGTATATAGACTATGTAGCTATACAAAATGGGAGAGTCCAGAAATATGATGAATTTTATCTTTATTATAATTGTTCAGAGTAGTTCTTTATGAGGAATGAATTTTTATGAGACAGTTTTCGGTCACGATCAGTTGTTCTCAATAAGCTAGCATGTGGAATGAAAATAAACACAGAATAGTCCTCTGATAGTGTAGTATTTCTAAATTAGTGTATTAATGAAAAAAAAATGGAAATGCACTTACAAATAGAGAGCTACCATCTAGCTCAAGACCAACATTGTGTAGCAAGATATATCTTGCTTAGGAACTGGCAGATGTGTATCCATGCAGAACAAGCAATGTGAGTAGGTGTGATCCCAACCATAGACTGATGGAATGTCTTATAAGTGATATGTGGGCATAAACACATGGAGGAGATTCCAATAGTGTAGTATTTTTATATCAGGTGGTCTCTGTGATAAAAGTCAAAAATACACTTACAAACATGGAGCCTCACAATCTGCTCTACCAGCTCGGAGCGGTACAATTCCTGCTCTGGGATATAAGTATGAAGTGTCCTTCCAAAACTGTCAGTAGAATATGGAATACAAGCACAAAAGAGAAAACACATAATGCTCTCTGCTTATGACAATGCGTAGGATAAGAGGAAATGTACTTAGATTTTCTGGAGCAAAGTATTTGTTCTGTAATATCAGCGTGGTTGGTATAATCCTACTCAGGGAATTTTCAGTGTAGATAGCAGAGAATTGACGAGAATTGAGCAACGGGACTGCAAGGGCGTGATCTATACACCAACACTTCTTCATTAAACTAAATTTGTTTTGGTGCCTGTAGTATCCCTTTAAGAAAGTTAACCACTGCATACCTGATGGAAAATTAATTCTAGTGATGATTCTCAGAAGTCCTCCCAATGGACCTTCCACTGAAGCCACCTGAATTAATTGAGCAAAGGGACCTCTCTTACTTCATTCAGTTGGCCAGCTAGGCTTAATTTTGTTTGACTGTATTAATACACAGGTGAAAAATGCTCTGCTTATTACATTTGAATGATCATATCACTGATGCATGTAGGCCGCAATGTTATATATAATCCCAATAAAATTATAACATGACTGGCATCTACACATCTATTTCACGTGCATTGCTACAATAGAACCATCTCAATACTACATGCAATGTCACGTCCTATTAAATCATTTTCATTTTGCATTTTTTTTATTGTAAATGTTTTATTCATATTTTTATCTTGAAGGTGAAATAAGAAACCGAAAATATGGTTCAACAAATTTTCAAAAAGATAAAACGTTTGGAATGAAAACTCCACACTTCACTGATGGCAGGAACGTAAGACGCTCGATGCAATGGCTTTCTGAAAAATATGGGTAACTATTTTTCTCTTAGCATTTAAGGAGATCTCTCAATCAATAATTTATATCATTTATGAAGAAAGTTAACAATGAAGTAGAAATACATGATAAGGATTGAGAATATTGCATACCCCTACTAGTAAATAAAGCTTGCAGAAACATGTAGGAATATTTTGAATTATCTCATGGCCAGTTGTGCTGTTTGAATGCATTAGAACCAGCAAATTGGACATACAAGGGTCTCTAAATTTGCTTATGATGTAACACAGTGGTTCCCAAACTTTTTAGGTTCAAGGTGCCCTTAATATTTCAGTATTTTTCCATGGCACCCCAAGTCAAAATTTCTAGGTTGTATATCTGTACAGCGCTGCGGCATTTACTGGCGCTATAGTGTAATGTACAGTGTTGGTGTTTGAAGGGGTGCTTGTATACATTTATTGTGTTTTAATACAGGGGTGTGTTTGGATGTGATGTTTGTGTTTTATTGCAAGCTATCACTTCCTCCCAGCCAGCTGACATTACAGGGGCCCAGTCGCTGTCTTAAAGGACCGAGGCACCCGACCAGGTCCCTGTTGAGCAGTAATGTTTCCCCGGTGCTATAATCATAGCACCGGGAAAATATTCTGCGGCACCCCTGTGTGTACGTTGCGGTGCCCCAGGGTGCCACTGCACACAGTTTAGGAACTGCTGATGTAACGCGTAGACTGAGATTCCTTTCTGAGATATTATAATTTTTTCTGGGCCACATAGATATAGCATGCTCCTCTCTGGTTTATGGTGTTACTGTGGTCCCTAAAATTTTTATTATTTAACTCACTCTGACAATTTTTGAGGCCCCATTCTAAGCTTTGCTTTTGATCTAAAAGTAATTAAATACGATTAGGTTAGGTTTTATTATGTTACTTTTTTAACCCATTTACAACAAGTCACTTGTCAGAACTGTCACAAAATAATATGTTCCTAGAGGAGCAGTGATGCAGTTGGCACATTATACAAAAATTATTTGCTAAAATGCCAAATAAAGTATATTTCTAATGACTCTAGGCCCATTGCCATTAGAATCCACTACCTACACAGCATTTTATGTATGTGATCTCTTTCATAATCGAATAAATATGAGGAAACTGTGAGCAGACATAGGTAGCATAAATGAGTGTTTTCCAAACTTCCCTCTATTATATTTGTGAGAGGTAGAGTGAAAGTCGTGCAGAGTGCAGACCCTGCTCAAGGATTTTCCAAATGAACATTTTATACTAAAGTTATTTATAGCCCCTTAATAACTGTTCCTGTACTGTGAAGGAGTAATTATAATGATTGTGCTTTTAATCATTAAGTTTGGTTTACATAGTTTCATAGTTACATCGTAAAACAAGATAAAAAAAGAGTTAAGTTCATCAGATTCAGTCTTTTACATATCTGTATTTCTACTGTTTGTGCAAAAAAAGACAAACCCCCCAAAAAAACTGTTTACGGCCATTTCCATTTTAGTGACAAATTGGGAGAGAAAAAAATCCGCTGACTGGATCAATTTTGCCATTAGATCACTTATTGACTGTTTTATCCTTGAATATTATGTTTTTTTCAAGCATCCAGATATTTTTTAAAAATCTGTACAAAATCTGAATAAATATACTCTTTAGGTAATGAATTCCAAATGGTTATAGTTCTTAGTGTAAAGAGCCCTTTCTTCTGCTTTAGGCAAAATAACCTCTGATAAAGTCTACAGTAAGTGGGTGACAAAATGAACCGGTTGCAAGAGAGCTATTTGTACCCTAATATATATTTGTATAATGTTATTATATTTCCTCTGAGCTACCTTTTTATAAATGTAACAAGTTCGTGTTTTCTAGCCTCTCTACGTAGCTAAAACCTTCCATTACATTTATTATTTGTATCCAGCCTCTGCACTCTTTCTTAGCCAATAACGTTCTTCTTCCAGACAATTACATGCACATTTAAATAAATATGGTAGGTGGGAAAAAAAAGGCCAACAGAAAAATAGTTAGCTAGTGCCTTTGTAATTTATGTATTTAAGATCAGTACTTAGTTGGGTAGTCAGGTGACCAAACGTAAAATACAAAAGATTTGTTAGCTAGTAACAATGTACTTGATGTAGGTAGTTAGGTGGTTGGATTGACTGCATCCTGACAGGTGGTTAGCTTGTAAATAAATTTATTTATTGAGTTGAGAAGGCAAAGACTATGGGTAATTACATTATTGTATGCAATTGGCAAACTAATTTGGGGTGTCTGGTAGGATTCTAAGTTAATTAAATGAGACAGGGTTGCATAAAAAAAACTAACTTATATGAGGATGAACACCAATGTCATAGGCAATATACAACAAAACCTCTATTAATTATAGAAAATTGCAATAAAAGCAATAATCACAACAAGATTTGCATCAATGACATAGTCCTTGTGCATTTACCTTAGCAAACATTAAAACAAAAAAAAAAGTGCATTAAAAAAGATATCCTGTATATAAAAAGTGAAAATAATAAACTTTAATTAAAACTCATTTTGGTAAAAAGCACATAAATTATAATTAGAACTTACTATCAGTATATTATATATTATAGTACTTCACTGCTCAGCTGTTCTGTTTGGGTTGCTGTCTTTCCTTAATTTATAAATATATCTTGTATTAATTATTACCCACAATCCTAGTTGTTTTTTAACGTTAAGACACAAGACTACCATCAGGCTGAAACCTTAATGCCCCAAATCCTATTCAAACGTTTCAGCATTAACTAATGCTTTTCTCAAGGGACAATCATAAAGCCTATAAAACTGTATTGTGCATGTCTCAAATTACTTGGATGCTTTTGTGAGGGTAGTTTGAATTGGTTTACTAAATAATCATAAACAAGACATGGGTCCAGCAGCAATCTGTCAGAATTCCAGGTTTGGAACATGGAATGTGCAGTTTTCTCTTTTGGCTCTGTAATATCGCAAAAACCTGGCAAACTTATACGTAAGGACAATGCTGCAATCATATGTTTTTTTTTTTTTTTGCATCCACGAACTAGGATTACAAAACTCCCAAGAGGAATTCACACACAAAAAATAAATATTTCCACACAATTTGACAGACGTAAATTATAAAATGCCTACTTGAATAGTATTGCAGTACTTGTGTGAAATACCCCAGGGTGTATAACTTTAAAACAATGTTGTACTGCAAAAGAGAGAACATTTTTGTATCGGAGCACTTTCTCAAATCAATATTTTTTTTCATGAGCTTCTTTATTTATGTATAAAATATGATAGGCAAAGTTTTGAAAAAAAAGTGTTTCATATTGTGTCTCTTATTTTCTGTTCATACTAAGTAATGATATATATATATATCTATATATATATTATATGTAATAATATATATATTATATGAAATAATGTTAAGCTGAACTTGAAGGTAAGGTCAAAGGCCTAAATTCTCCTGAAAGTCCTTCCACATTGGGGTCAACTCAGTGTGGTATCTCTAAATAATGTTCCCATTCATGTAATTAAAAATTGACATAATGAAGTTCTTTGCTACGTTGATGTTTCTTTGGGTACCTACATAATCATCTGGTTGATTTTCAACAAGCTTTTCAGAAGCTTGAAATCTAACTTGTATGGATATATAAACAGATTTACATCGATATATCACTAGTGTGTGTTATAATTGTATACACTATCTAAACTACATTGGTCTATTTAGGTCTTCGCTTACAGTGGTCATGCCACTTCACAAACCCTTTAATGCTCGTTTTCATGTTGGCACTTACATACTGGGTCTGCAGATGTAATGGATCTCAAAAGAGCCTTTACTGGTTTTCTATGGAAAGTGATTCAGAACAAATTCATAACAAAAATACCAATGTCGTTTTATTCCTGAATGTGCAGGTTTCCCAATAAAAATGTTGGATATTTGGACTGATCTTACAGAGATCAGCCCATGTAAATTCTCATTTTATACTCACAGTTTCTGTCACGTACTGTGACCGTTAACCCTTGATAAGGTTTGATAAAGGTCACAGTAGCAACAAAACATTGCCTATGTATGAAATGTTCCATTAAAAAGGCTGTCACAATTAAGAATGCTGAGTGCCTTTATTTCCTTGCTTTGTGTACTATGTATATTTGGATATGTGGCCACCTCCATATTCAAGAGCACTGTGCTCTTGTGTTCTGCGCATTATTTAAAAGATACACATTTTTGTAATTGGAGTTCAGTCCCCTTTATTTGGTATTTGGTGAGACACATGCCTGTTAATATATGAATGTACTGTTCTAACTAAAAAGGAAATCTTAGGATATCTTGTTTTTGTAGGGAAACAAATAAGAATCAATCCATTTTATCCTTTCATAAAGCAATTCTTATGTCTAGAAAAAAGAATTTTTGTAAGTCCTAAATTATTGTATATACATTTTTACAGGAAAGAAGGTGCAAACATTGTTTTTAAAAGGCTTGATGACTTCAGAGAGCGTACACAGCCTCAGGTCGGAAAAGGTCTTGACCCGTAAGTAGAATACTTTGCTATTGAATGTTCTATGACATTAATTATATTTCCAATTTACCTTACAAAATATCCCCATTTATTTACTGTTGATATGTCATTGATATTAGCTTTAACAGCTATGAATGAGACCCTTTAAGTTACCTAAGACTTGCACATTGTAAACATACCATCCAGTTTGGCGACAAAGGTAGAAAGTTGTTTAGTTGCGCAATGAACGTCTTCACCATCCTTTCTTCTCTAGTGGATGAATGGATGAACCATGCAATTACCCACCCCACATACTGTTTATTACTATATATATATATATATATATATATATATATATATAGTAATAAAACATGTCTATTTTATTTCTCTTTTAACCCTTTTTAAAAGAATACCAATACCTTGCAGTGGTAGCTGTACAAACCACAATCCCTCTTATCCTTAAAGGTTTACTCCAACCACCAAGACCACTTCAGTGATTTGAAGTGGTCATGGTGGTAGGAGTCTGGATGTGCAGCTTTTATGCTTGAAACACTGCTCATTCAGAGATTTCTGCACTTGTGTGGCGGGCGGGTAGTTACACCCCCGGCACACGTGACTTTGACAGCCTGGAACTCTGTTCAGGAGTGCCAAATGTCAATTCTGTGCATATTTCAATTCTGTTGTCAGCGAGCAGTGCATGATGGCAACAGAGATAGCCATTTTCTCTCTTGCATCATGCTTGCAAAGGGTAGCTCGCTATCTCTTCTTTTCCTCCCTCCTTTGTGTGGGAGAGGGAATAAAATAAATAAAAGATAAAAATAAAGTTAAAAATCCTAACTCCCCTAACTGTGCGCATGTGAGGATATGGTGCTCCTCATTTGTCAGGCAGCTGAAGAGCAGATGACGTGAGGATGTGATGCTCCTCATTGGCTTGTGACTGCCATTTATAAATGGATGCTGAAGTCAGTTCCGCAATTACGTAATTTTTTTCGCCTACCCCTGGGGGAGCTGGTTAGTACCCCTGGGTGTACACGTACTACAGGGTGGAAACTGCTGATGTAGAGCAATCACCATACACATCCTGCATGGTGATATGTCTTTTTAAGGGATACATGGATTTAGTACAAAGTTATCAAAACTATTCCTCACATTCAATATTCCGTCTCCATTAAAACAATCCACACTCACAACAAGTGCAGTTGCCATTAAACAAACAATAAGGATTTCTTCAGTTTTTCATTTCAAAACACTCACTGTTATAAATAATTAAAAAAAATAATCACTCCATTGACAGGTGCCATTTTAACTTATTGTGTTTTTTTTTTTTTTGTATTCTCTAAACCTCATCCCAAGCACAACTATTGTCTCTATCGGGAAGAGATAATTTGCAGTCTAATAATACACACTAAATTATGGCATATAATATTCCCGTTATATGGGAATGGTCACTACTCAGGATTTTAAAATAATGCCTATGTGTCCTTAAACTTACCAAATATTTTTATGTGTAAATAAATAAATACATTTAGAAATCCAAACTGTGTTGTTTAGCTCTATCCTAGAACTGGGAGTCTCAATTATGGCTCTCTGCCAGTCATTGTTATACATTCAGTTTTTTTGGAAGGCAGCATAGAGAGAACATAAAGTGGAGCACTGTTTATCCCCCTCCATCCTCTGACTTTTCCTGGAATGAACTGCATTGTGATATGGAATGCAAAATCTTGAATATACATTTTAAAATAAAAGAGATCATGCTATGTAAATAAAAAAGTTATTTTTTACAAGTATTGCTTCGTGTTTACAGCCAAGATTATTTTCCCAAAAAACTTTAAATCATAACAAAATTAATTTAAATACTAACATAGGCTCCTCTCCTATTACTTCCAGACAGAAACAAATTTACTGTGAATTATGGGAGCTATAGCAACAGATCATGATAACAATGCATGCTTTATACCTTCAGCATTACACACTTTTCAGCCCAATCCCTGTCCACATTAACTAATATCTCTCCTGTTTTTTTTTCTTTTTAATAAAGTGTTTTTTTTTCACTCACTTTTGTTTCACCACATTGTAGCCAACAGTTCACCATCATACCCCCCAACATCACTTTCCCATGAATAGTGAACCATATGTCACCCAGGCAGACTGCTCCCACCTCCTCCATTTGGTGCATTACTGACTGATGCCAACTATTACTAAATAACGACAAAGTGAAATCCTGTCAATTATGCCAAATGTAATGATATTGTAGCCTAAAATATTATAACATTCAGTATATTTATTGATAAATGTGTTGATATACAAGTGTATCATAAGTACAAAAACCACCTATTTCACTATATGTATCTCAGTGGGTTTTTAAAGGTATGCATTAATATTGATAGATTTTATCAACTTAAAGGGACACCATGGGGTCAGGAACACAAACATGTATTCCTGACACTATAGTGGTAAAATCACTATTTAGGTCACCTAGCCTCCCCTTGCCTCCCTTTAAAAAGATATTAAACTCTGTGGGGGAACTGGGGGGTGGGGGAGAGGAAGTGGAAGCTGGGAAAGGGATGATTTCCCCTCAGCCCAGTAATCAGAATCCCGGACCCCGCTCCCGACACGTAGCTTTCCAGGAGATAGAGTCTGTCCCCGACTTGTGATAGGAATGTGTTGATCCCAATAGGTGGAAACAGTAACATTCGGACCTGGCACCATGTGGTGACCTTATCCTCTTTCCTCCTTCCCCAATGTCCCATTCACTCCTTCTTATGTCCCTCACCCTCTTCTCCCTCTTCTCCCTCTTCTATTGCCTTTAATCCTCACAGATGTGTTTTTTGGGTTGGTATCATTGCCATGGTCTGACCATCTAGGTCAGTAGGGAAGCGTTGCGAGTATGAGGAAGAGAGTTACGTCCGGGGGCAACTTTCACCCTCTATGTGTACTGTTTACCTTGTTATTCCTTTCCCCATTAGATAAAAAACAAAAACTTGCTGACGGTTAGTTTATTGTGCATACTACTTTTTTCATTTCATTCTGCCTCAAGTTGGGGTCACCTGTAATTGCACTAAATGTCTTCATATTTGTGCTGTGGATGGCCCTGCTCCACTTCCATGGCTGAGATTATCATTTAAATGATATCAGCCAATCCAATGCTTTCCCATAGGAAAACATTGGAAGGCTATTGCACATGCATGTCAAAATGCCACGCTGCTTTAACCAGCATCTCTTTGTAGAGATGCATTGAATCAGTGCATCTCTATGGCGTGTGTTTATTGTCTACATGCCGAGCACAGAGATGCTGACCATCATTGCAGAACATTGTGCAGCACTTACCAAGGAAGCACCACTAGTTGCCGTATGAGTGATTGCCACTGGAGGTGTCACTAAGCAGTAATGTAAACACTGCTTTTTCTCTGAAAAGGCAGTGTTTACATTAAAAAGCTTGCAGGGACTGACTATAGACACCAGAACAACTACATTAAGCTGTTGTTGTTCTGGTGACTATAGTGTCCCTTTAATATCAATGTATGTTTCAGTAATGATATATAGTCAGGTGAGAAGTCCAGCTGACCAGGGATCTAAATATTGTTTGGCATTTTAATATGTATTTATTTAGAAATAGAACAGGCATTCTAGTAAATGTAATCGGATTCATTTTACTGACAGGGTTAATCACAAGTAACTGATTACCTTAAAATCCCACTAACAATGGGTACATCTACAAGCGTACAATGGTAAAATGCCTGACTAGCCAAGGCTGGTTTGTTCTAAATGAAGGAAGATCAGAATGAATCTAATATAGTATTTTAATAAAGTGATTATTAAACCTTAATGGATATGAAAATAGCTGACCTTATGTAGATATTAATATGCATAAAATGTTATATGAAAATAAAAGACTATGGATGGCATATGATCAAATCACAATTTAATTTTACCATCAAGTTGATTATAATCTAATATTGTTAATTTTGTCAGATATTGTATTAATATAGTTACACAGTCAGTGGCAATGGTAAATAAGAGGTGTCTCCCTTATATATAATATTGAAAAGCATTAAGCAAGAAACAATATTAAAATATTACAAACCCAAAGAACCAAGGCTTTCCTATGGGACAGTAAAGACCATGGATCACAATTCTATTATTTGATCTAGATTAAAGGGACACTATAGTCACCTGAACAACTTTAGCTTAATGAAGCAGTTTTGGTGTATAGAACATGCCCCTGCAACCTCACTCCTCAATTGTCTGCCATTTAGGAGTTAAATCCTTTTGTTTATGAACCCTAGTCACACCTCCCTGCATGTGACTTGCACAGCCTTCCATAAACACTTCCTGTAAAGAGAGCCCTATTTAGGCTTTCTTTATTGCAAGTTCTGTTTAATTAAGATTTTCTTATCCCCTGCTATGTTAATAGCTTGCTAGACCCTGCAAGAGCCTCCTGTATGTGATTCAAGTTCAATTTACAGAGAAAGAGATACAATTATTTAAGGTAAATTAGATCTGTTTGAAAGTGAAACCAGTTTTCTTTTTCATGCATGCTCTGTCAATCATAGCCAGGGGATGTGTGGCTATTGCTCCATAAACAGAAACAAAGTGATTTAACTCCTAAATGACAGTGAATTGAGCAGTGAAATTGCAGGAGAATGATCTATACACTAAAACTGCTTTATTTTGCTAAAGTAATTTAGGTGACTATAGTGTTCCTTTAATAAGCTCGATTTCATATCACCACAATCTTATGTTGAGAATCCAATAAATATATGATTACATCAGATTTTAATAAGTATCCTTAACTACTATGATGTGTATATTAGTAATACTTGGCAGATATAGCTCTACATTAATGCCAGTGCTAATATTCTTGGAATTAAAAATTAAGCTATTACCCACACATCAAATTAATCATCAGGAATGCAGATAATCAGTGCTACCAAAGGGTGGTTAGATACCACCAACTTATATATAACTAATTGTATATATAAGTAATACTTTTATTGTCCACCAGATGCAGTATCATACCTCCAATTTATAAATTAGGTCTTAAAAATACTTCCCTGAGTACAGTGACCTTTAATTATTTAAGATTTTTTTTTTTATTCACATTTTATTTATAAGAGTTGATTTCATATAAAATTTTATGCGTATTAATATCTTCATAAGGTCAACTAATTCAGATCATTATTAAAAGTATCATGGCTATTTTCATATCCATTAAGGTTTATGTGCATTGATCAGCGGCTTTTTTTTCTGATCATTAAACCCATAATATCTCACATAATATATTACTGTTAATCTTATTAACTAAGTCACGGTATATTGTTTTAGATAATTGTGTAAAATACTCGACAATAATGATTCTGTCTTAGTTTATAAACTGGTATTTTGTATGGTAAATTCAAGTACTATTACCTCCTTAACGAAGTTAGGATGTTTCATGCTGTCCTCCACACAGTGGGCTTTAATGACATTAGAAAGGTATGGAACGTCCTAACGTTTTGATGTAAGCAGGATTATTATTATTATTGCCATTTATATAGCACCTACTATTTTCATAGAGCAATAAACCTCTACTCACACCAGTGATACCCATGTATCAGTTGATACCAAGGGCATACCCTGTCAACAGAGGCAACATTTTATGGCCCAGACTGACAGATGAGCTATATGCAGCACTCAAAGTGCTAAATCACAGAGGCTTTGGGCAATAGGTCAGGCACCACATCCTCTTCATCTGGACTGTTTCAGGCAAACAGCCAAAACTGTAGTGCTCCTGGTACCCCTTCAATATATTGACATGAACCATGCTCTGGAGGTGCCGCTGGTGGTCCTTGGTTACCATGTAAACTGTGTCGCTAACACTCCGGACAATAGTATGCAGACCGTGCCATGCAGCTGGTAGCTTATTGGCTGGGGAGGCTACCAGGCTCGAGCTCCCCGATCATACCAAACCATATGCAGCCATGTTCTTCTGGACCAATCCACAGGGGCCTCCAACCTGTTCCTCAGCTCTAACATGTAGGGAACTATACAGACGTTCTCATTGTCATTGTCTCCCTCCCAGAAATCCCAGAGCAAGTTCAAGGGCCCCCGCACCCACCAACCATACAAGAACTCAGGTGTAAATCCTGTAGATTTTTGTGGAACTTTGTGGTATGTGAGGGAGCAACTTCTCTCAATCTGGTTCCTTGTCCACAAAGCTTCAAAGCATAACCTTCAGAGAGCTGTTAAAATGCTTGCAAAGGCCATTGGTGTGGGAGGGTAGGGGCCATATCAGAGCTGCTTCACATCGCCATGCTGCTAGAGTTGATAGACCAGTGCAGACATGAATTAGGTGCCCTGGTCCAACAATATCTCACTTGGAAAACCAATGCGGGTGAACACGGTCACCTAGGTGTCTGCAACTGCGTCTGTTCTATTTTGGGAAAGAGCCACAGTCTTAGGGAACCAGGTGACATAATCCACCAACGTGAGGATTAACTTTTTCTCGGATTTGCTCGGACAGGCCAAGGGTCCCACGATATCTATTGTGACCCTTTGGAAGGGGGTTCCCACTGTGGCCATATGTTGGAGCAATGCCTTTCCTTTACCAATCCGCTGACATGGATCACAGGAGTTACATAACTGCTAATGGTCTACAAGGGGTGGCCAATAAAATGCCTTTGTTAGTATGGCCCTGGTCTTACTAACACCCATGTGACCCCCATTACCCTTTTCCCACTCCTCAACACAATGGACCGGCCACTTCAAAGCATTCAGGACCTGAGACCGGCAGGGACAATCCCTCACAAAGTGGCCTGGATGCTGGCCCCCATGGCAAACAATGGGGTGCCACACTCCAGGATTCTGTGTGGATTTGATGGGCAAGCTTTCTCCCTTTCTGGGTCAGCAGACCTCTCTCTTGCTGAGGTTGCTGCTTGGGTATGGAGGTTTGGCTAACAAAGTCATCTGGTCTGATGCAACTGGCTTACTGGAGTTTGCTGCGGATGCTGTTCGTGCTGGAGTTGCTGCCCCGGGTCTGCCAGTACTGCTTTGCATGATCAGCATCAGCACTGGCAGTGGTGGGCTTCCTGTCCTGGACCCACTGCTTTATGCCAGCAGGACAAACAGTATAAAGCTGCTACAGGTAAAATGCCTTAAGAGCCTTCTCAAAACAGTCCACCTCACTCCCCTTCCGCCAACACGCAGAGCATGCTCACTCCTCCACATGTATTCCAGGGGTAGCATATAGGTCTTGAAACCGCATCCGTCAGGCCTTTGGGGTGACAGTGTACAGGGCAAGAAGGGCTCACTTGAAGGCTAGTAGTCTTCCTGTTGCTCTCGGGGGACAGCAATGCAACCAGTTGTACAACACAGGAACCCACTCATGATGGTAAAGGCTGTTAATCTCGCACTGCCGCTCAAATTTCTGGAGGAACCCATCAATGTCATCTTTGCCATCCTTGAACATGGAAAAGCTGTGGATGGACACTTTAATCTTGGGTCCCTCTGCTAGGGCCACACAGGGGGAGGTGACTTGGTGTGGTGCCTCCCCAACTCTGCTCTCCTTTTAGACCACCTTGTACAGTGGTGGACTCACCCAGCGACATCCGATCACCTAGAATGGCACCCACTCCTGAAACTTCTTGGCCAACTACCCTTGAGGGATGTCCTTTGTTTTTATCCCACAACACAATAACCCTGGACATTTCAAGGGAAAGGTTATTTTGTCACACTGAGCAATTGCACTCATCCACAGTGATTCTCATGTTGCCAGTGCTCTTCTGAAAAGACCTTGGTGGGTTCTTCTTGCATTCTTCACCTGACAATTCGTGCTTGTCTTTTCCAGCTGCACAGCACCGATCACAGTGTGATCTGCAGGACAGAATGCTGATTGCAATGTTTTAGTGTGAGAAGGATAGCTTCTACCCTTGCCTTAATGCTGAGAGTGCACCTGCATGTGTAAGCCTAGTTCTCCTCTCCTTACTTTGGTGCACACTCTCTCCACCCCTCTCTAATACTATTTTAAATCTTACATGGCTACACAAAATCTTAGCAAACAAATATGGGGACTCAGTCACACTAAATGGCCATATTGTGTTAAGCCCACAACTATGTCACAGTACCCATACATATTGGGCTTCCGTGATGTAGTGGTAGACTTAACACAATATGGTCATGTGGCGTAGATGAATCCCCATAATTGTTTACTAAAATAGTTGATTTTCAGTAGCCTTGTAAGATTTAAAACAGTATTTGTTTGTGTGTGGTGTTCTCTTAATCTGTATTTTGTACATTTCAAGTGAAGCAGACAGTAAAAGATACACAGTTTGAAACATACTAATATGTGTTTCTTATTGCAGTATGGCAGACACTAGGAATCTTCCAGCAGATCATACATTTGGTGCTCCTCTCCAACATGAAAAATACGGTAAAGTTTTATTGCATTGGGACTTTATTTTTTGGAGCAAATGTTTTGACATTTTCTAACAAAAATAAACAAGGTGTGCTTACATTGTTACATAGAAACATAGAATGTGACGGCAGATAAGAACTATTCGGCCCATCTAGTCTGCCCAATTTCTTTTAAATACTTTCATTAGTCCCAGGCCTTGTCTTATAGTTAGGATAGCCTTATGCCTATCTCATGCATGCTTAAACTCCTTTACTGTGTTAACCTCTACCACTTCAGCTGGAAGCCTATTCCATGCATCCACTACCCTTTCAGTAAAGTAATACTTCCGGATATTATTTTTAAACCTTTGCCCCTCTAATTTAAGACTATGTCCTCTTGTGGTGGTAGCTTTTCTTATTTTAAATATAGTCTCCTCCTTTACTGCGTTAATTCCCTCCGTGTATTTAAATTTTCTATCATATCCCCCGTGTCTCGTCTTTCCTCCAAGCTATACATGTTAAGTTCCTTTAACCTTTCCTTGTAAGTTTTATCCTGCAATCCATGAACCAGTTTAGTAGTCCTTCTCTGAACTCTCTCTAAAGTATCAATATCTTTCAGGAGATACGATCTCCAGTACTGCGTACAATACTCCAAGTGAGGTCTCACCAGTGTTCTGTATAATGGAATGAGCACTTCCCTCTTTCTACTGCTAATACCTCTCCCTATGCAACCAAGCATTCTGCTAGCATTTCCTCAGATGTTGAGGTTAGGACTCTATCAAATATTCTGTACTCTGCCCTTGGGTTTTTACATCCATGCATAGCCTGAAAAGAGACATGTGTCCATCAAGCTCATGCTTTCTCACATCTGTTTTTGCTGTTGATTTCAATGAATGCAAAAACAAAAATTTGAAGCACTTCCAATTTTGCAACAAATTAAGAAAAACATTCTTCTTGACCCCAGAATTGCTGTCAGATTTATTCTTGAATCAGGAAGCTATAACCCCACAAATAAAAAAATTATACCTTTGAATATTATGTTTTTGCAAGTATGCATCCAGTTGCTGTTTAAACATCTGTACATACTTTAATAAAACCACTTCTTCAGGCAGAGAATTCCGCATGCTTATTGTTCTCACTGTAAAAAAAATCCTTTCCTCTGCCTTAGACTAAATCTCCTTTCTTCCAGTCTAATCGCATGACCTTGTATCCTATTATGTCCTATTTATGAATAGATTTCCAGACATTGGTTTGTATTGACCCCAAATATATTCATATAATGCTATTATATACCCTCTGAGGCACAATTTTCTAATCTAAAGAGGTTTAAATTCGTCATAACTAAAATTTTTCCATTCCTTTTATTAATTTTGTAGATTGCCTGTGCAATTTTTCTAGTGCCATAATATCCTTCTTTAGAACAGATGTCCAAACAGTATATTCAAGGTGTGGCCTTACCAGTGATTTATAAAGATTTGTAAAATTATATTCTCATCCTGAGAAATAATGCCACTTTTTATACATGTGAATACCTTACTGGCCTTAGCGACTGCTGATTGACATTGCACATTGTTGTCTAGTTTGTTGTCTATAACAATTCCCAAATCTTTCTCGTGTGTTGTTATCCCTAATTCACTAACATTTAGGGTGTAAGTTGCCTGTGCATTTTTTACCCCTAAGTGCATAAATTTGTGTTTTTCTACATTAAATATAATTTCCCATTTGAGTGCCAAATCCTGCAATCTATCTAAATCCAACACTAACCTATTGTGTGTAACTGTATCAAAAACACCATGGCAAAATCCAAGCATATCACATCCGCTGCAACACCCTGATCTATACTTCTACTTACTGCTGCATAGAATGATTTTTGCTAATAAAAATGTTCTTTTCAATGAATTCCTGAATATTATCCCTTAATAACCTTTCAAATACTTTCCCAGCCACAGAAGTGAAGCTCACAGGTCTATAATTTCCAGGCAAAGATTTTGAACTCTTTTTTAAATATAGGAACTACATCTGCCTTCCTCCAACCCTCCAGTAAAAATACTGAAAGAACAGAATCTTGCAAGATTTAGAACAGATGTTTACTTATTTCCACAAGTTCATTAATTACTCGTGGGTGAATACCATCAGGCTCTGGAGCTTTGTTTATATTAACTTTCTTTAGTTGCTGCAACACATTGTCTCCAGTCATTCAATAACACTTTTTCTGCACATTTTTTGCAGCAATCATTTGTATAGCTCTAGCCATAGGTTCTTCATTAATATATACCGAGGAGAAACATTTATTTTAAATCTCTGCCTTTTCCTTGTCTTCATTACATCCTGGTTTTTAGTGTACCTACACTTTCATTTTTGTAATTTTTTTTTAGCATTTATGTACTTAAAACTGTTTTGGGATTGGTTTTGCACTCTTTAGCTATTACTTTTTCATTTTGTAGTTTATCGAATCTAAACACCTTTTTGCATGCATTATAGGCTTTCTTATATATTTTAAAGGATGCCTCTAAAATGTAAATCTAAATGCTTTAATTGTCCCTTTCTTATTTTTAAAGGATCACTATAAGGTCAGGAACACAAACATGTATTCCTGACCCCATAGTGTTAAAATCACCTTCTAGCCCCCCTGGTTCGCTCATGCCTCCATAAATATAGCAAAATCTTACTGTATTCAAGCCTGAAGCTGTATATCTGCATGCTGTTTGCCTTAAAACAAAAAAAAGCAGTCTGCTGACATCATCAGCAGTGGTAGCCTGATCCAATCACAGTGCTTCCCCATAGGATTGGCTGAGACTGACAAAGAGGCAGATCAGGGGAAGAGCCAGCATGATTCAAACACAGCCCTGGCCAATCAGCATCTCCACATAGAGATGAATTGAATCAATGAATCTCTATGAGGAAAGGTCAGTGTCTGCATGCAGAGGGAGGAGATACAGAATGTTTGGATGCATTTTAGGCAGCCATGCCCCAGGAAGGATCTCTAACAGCTATCTGGGGAGTGGCCAGTGAAGTTATCACTAGACTGTAATGTAAACACAGCATTTTCTCTGAAAAGACAGTGTTTGCAGCAAAAAGCCTGAAGGTAATGATTATACTCACCAGAACAAATTCAATAAGCTGTAGTTGTTCTGGTGACTATAGTGTCCCTTTAATGATTTACATTCCCATTAAGATATAGGTTGAATTTAATTTGTTTCTTTTATGTTTATTACCCTATGGTACATATTGAGAAAGTTACCTTTTTTTTGTAGATATTATTCTCAGTGTTTTTTTTCACTAAAGAGTTTATGCCAGTCAATATATTGTAAAGCTGCCCTAATTATCTTGACATTGGTCTTTTTAAAATTATGTTTTAGTATACCCCATGTGCATTTGCTTTTTTGAGTTTATTTCCAAGGAAACTATTTTGTGACTATTTCCAAATAACCATGTGAAGCATGAATTATGATAAATGAAGCCTGTTTTTTTTAACTTAAAATCACAAATTTGATTTGTCAGCTTAGAGTTTTTTTATATCATCTAGTGGTGTGGTAGGTTATTTCTTAACAGCAGAAGGTACTAAAACATTTGCTCAGAGCAAAATGGAACAGCTTGGTTTTTCTCACCAAAAGTTATTTTACACTATTTATGGTATTATTTTTATTTCCCATAATCACCTGGGCTATTACTACTGAAATCTTCATTCTGAAGCATTACTACTTTCCATTTTTGCATTTTTTTCTTTTAACTGTAACTCCAACTAAGATTCCATTATGCTAGATTGAACCATTCTATTTCATTGTTATTACCCTTAACCTGCTCTCTGTACTTACAGAAATTTCTTAAATAGATATTACTTAAATCTTACAAAAACAATACTAGACTAAATGTTTTACAAGGATAAATCTAATAAATAGTTTCAATGAAATAAATATACATTTCATTTAAATGAGAGCTCACCATCACATTTTATTCATTGTGTCCTGTCTATGCCAGTGATTTTTACTAGTGGAAATGCATTTTAAACTCCTTTTAATTTTTCATTCAGGAGTTGGAGATCTCATTCAATACAGGACTACAAATTTTCTGCGTGGCAAAGATCGACTTAGAGCCAACCTTGCAGCTGTTCAACAACACTTGAAGAAAGCAAATTATCAGCATTTTGGGTCACTACTGGAAGCATTTAGACATTATGACAAGGTTAGTGGTCAACCGCAATATTTATCCATCTGTTGATACTATTTTTTATGAGGTACGGCCCTGTATGTGAAAAGCAGGTCAGAAGAAAAACTTACAGGTCAAAAATAGTTTTACTATAATGCTCTATCTTCCATGTTCATAACAGGTGAGTGGTCTACTGGAAGTGTAGAGACAACAGATAACCTTACAATTTAAAAGTTCCCATTATTTAAGCATAATTCTTAATAGAAGGATACACATCGGTGAGTTTACAAAAATATTTAATCAAATGGGGCAGTTGACAGCATCTGAAAAAGGTATGTATGGAAATTTGGTTGAGTAGTTTATAGCCAACAGATCTCCAGGGGGGTATTTCCAATTTTATCTTTCATAAAGTGGACACGTGCACTCTAACAACAAACTAAACCTGGTAATGAAATTGTGAACTCAAAACATGCACATTATACTCCAAATGTTCATTTAAAAAATGAGTAACGTACATGTATATCAACATTGCTTTGGAACACTACCGGTTGATGTCATATATTACCGAGTATTGCCACTACTGTACTATAAAAAGGGTTAGATAAACAGGTTAGGAGTTTCTATTATGCTTCATTGAACTCTTTTGTTTCATTGTTTGTACCCTTAACTTATCTTCTGTACTTGTTGAAAAGTTCTTAAATAAAGAAAAAACCCTCACAAAAACAATAGACAAAAAGTTTTATAAGTATAAGTTGTTTGTCACAAATTTGGAGTATCGTTAAAAAATTTGCAAATTTACCAGATTAACAAAGACATCTGAAATTAAGCCCAGTTTTAAGTCAATAACAATTTCTAACTTTAGTGATGTTACCGGCAGAAATTGGTTGTGACATTTTTGGTTTGTAATATCATATGAAGCACTCATTTAATACCAGAGAAAAATCAGAAAACATGAATTTATTACCAAAGCTGAATTGTAATTAATGCCACTGTCTAGTCTAAAAACTTCGAGAACTGGTTTGTGCTTGTCATAATTAATAACATATTACAACAAAGTGTACTCAGGAAAGACTCCTGCAAATGTAGAACAACAGCAGAAACAGATGAGAGAAAGGCTGAACTTGATGGATTCAAGTCTCTTTTCAGCCTTTCTAACTATGGAAATTTCTTCCTTATCCATTTGGTACAATATAATATGCATTCTGTCTGCAAGCTAGTTTTAAACACGATTATAAGCATATTTCTCTCAGCCTGATTAAATTTGTTTTGAAACCTTCTATGCAGATATATTAAATGTTGCAGAAAAATTAAAGCAGATCACATCCACTACAGCACCCAGTTCTCTTATGTATGTTTTACTGAGTTCATTACAGGATAAACCTAACTAAGTTTGACATGAGCTGGCTATCTAAATTCCACACAAAAAAACAAACAACAACAACACAATGCCATTTTTTATTTTATTTACTAATGCAAGGTATTGCCCAATTCTACCTGTGCACTTAAGAAAATTTCAAAAAATCTGAACTTTTATTTAGCTTGATTAATGACATGAACTAATTAAATTACACAGGGTTTTGTTAAAGAGCACTGATATCTGTAAATATAACAAGAACCATATGAAAAAGTATGCTAGTGTAGCTTGCACATTTTTGTGTTTTTTTTTCTTTTTATGTTTCAGAATGGTGATGGAAAAATTGATAAGGATGATCTAAAACGAATTTGTGATCAGTTTGGGCTGGATTTGGATGTTGAACTTTTAGATTCTTTACTTGAATACTGTGACGTAGACAACGACGGCCTGATTAACTTTGTTGAGTTTGCAAACTTTCTTAACTGGAAAGATAAAATGGGTATTACAGAACTGGAAGAAAAAATACTTACACAAGGTAAAGACTAATCCACAACATGATTACTTACATATTAAAACATTTCTTCTGTGTTAGATGGAAACGTGGATGTTTAGTCCCATGACCATCTACACTGCTGTGAACTTAACAAACATGTTCAACCTGTGATATTGGAAATGATAATCTTAAAGTGATCAAGAAATGGTTGTCATTTATATATCATTATGTTTTTTTAATATATTTATAAGTTATATACTTTGATTGTTTAGGACATTTTTATGCATTATTTACTTCTACCCATAGCCCTCAGCACCACCATCAAGCAGGGTTTGTAGGAGTTACTCCAACCCATTCCAGTGCCTCCAAACTGACTGGCCTTGCTTGGGGAAACTTCCCCAAACAAGATACATCTCCTTATGACGCCAAACACAGGCTTACTTAGTGCATTGGTGTCTGAAGAGTGACAGCTGTCACCCGTTTCCTGTATTCCTGTGGGGGAATGAAAGATACTCTTGTAGGAGGCATAATCAAATCAACTAGAGCTCATGTGCTGGATGTCCTGTACAGAGAACATAATATCTACCTGCAAGAGAGTTCTACAACATTCTGTGCTCTTTACATAGACCTCTATACTGAGCAATGATTGCCTGGTAAGGAAAGGGATAATATATACCCCAGTGAGGGGAAAAAGTATTTAATCCCCTGCTGATTTTGAACGTTTGCCCGCTGACAAAGAAATGATCAGTCTATAATATTGATGGTAGGTGTATTTTAACAGTGAGAGACAGAATGACAAATTTTTTTTTTTTTGAAAAATGCATGTCAAAAAATTTATAAATTGATTTACATGTCAATGAGTGATATAAGCATTTGACCCCTTTGACTTAGTACTTGGTTGCAAAACCCTTGTTGGCAATCGCAGAGGTCAGATGTTTCTTGTAGTTGGCCACCAGGTTTGCACACATCTCAGGAGGGATTTGGTAACCACTCCTCTGCAGATCCTCTCCATGTCTTTAAGGTTTCGAGGCTGACTTTTGGCAACTTGAACCTTCAGCTCCCTCTACAGATTTTCTATGGGATTAAGGTCTGGAGACTGGCTGTGCCAGTCCAGGACCTTAATGTGCTTTTTCTTGAGCCACTCCTTTGTTGCCTTAGCTGTTTGTTTTGGGTCATCCACATACTCATCCACGACCAATTTTCAATGCCCTGGCTGAGGGAAGGAGGTTCTCACTCAAGATTTGATGGTACATGGCCCCTGTCTATCCTCCAGTTGTCCTGTCCCCTTAGCAGAAAAACACCCCTAAAGCATAATGTTTCCACCTCCATGTTTGACAGTGGGAATTGTGTTCTTGGGGTCATTGGCAGCATTCCTCCTCCTACAAACACGGTGAGTTGAGTTGATGCAAAAGAGCTCGATTTTGGTCTCATCTGACCACAACACTTTCACCCAGTTCTCCTCTGAAACATTCAGATGTTCAATGGCAAACAGACGGGCCTGTACATGTGCTTTCTTGAGCAAGGGGGACCTTGCGGACGCTGCAGGATTTCAGTCCAACACGGCGTAGTGTGTTACCAATTGTTTTTTTGGTCACTATGGTCCCAGCTGCCTTGAGATCATTAACAAGATCCTCCCGTGTAGTTCTGAACTGATTCCTTACCATTCTCATGATCATTGAAACTCCATGAGGTGAGATCTTGCATGGAGCACCAGAACAAGGGAGACTGACAGATCTACCAAAAGGTAGATCTGTGTTTCTTCCACTTGCAAATAATCGCACCAACAGTTGTCACTTTCTCACCAAGCTGCTTAGCTATGGTCTTGTAGCCCATTCCAGTCTTGTGTAGGTCTACAAACTTGTCCTTGACATCCTTGGACAGCTCTTTGGTCTTGGCCATGGTTGAGAGTTTGGAATCTGATTGATTGCTTCTGGTGACAGGTGTCTTTTATACAGGTAATGAGCTGAGATTAGGAGCACCTTTAAGAGAGTGCTTTTAATCTCGTTACCTGTGTAAAAGACAACTGGGAGCAAGAATCCTGCTGATTTATAGGGGATCAAATACTTATTTCACCCATTTATAACTTTCTTGACGTGTTTTTCTGAATTATTTTTTTGTTATTCTGCCTCTGACTGTTGAAATACACCTACCATTAAAATTATAGACTGATTATTTTTTTGTCAGTGGGCAAATGTTCAAAATACTTTTTTCCCCTCACTGTATATATATGTAAATATATATCCATATTTGCTAGCAATTTGGATAGCAGCACAATGTTAAAATGTATTTTATATTTAAAATTTTATTTGCCCCCAATTTGTGTACAATTTGTGTACAATTTGTGTACAATGAACATCTAAAACAATCTCATTCAGCTATTATTTCTATTGCTACTATTCCTCTGGTACTACATATACATTTGTTTTGATGAATGTTTCTCTGCAAGACTGAAACGTTGACTAAATTATGCACTAGCTTAATAAACAGCAAACACTTTATTTGATATACAAATCCTATCCTGTATATGTGGCTGGAGGATTGGCCCTTAGGTAACTAAATGTTGGTTATTTAAAAGCCGTGCTCAGCCCGTGGATCATATATACATAAAACCTATATATACTTAAATAACCCATAAATTGGTATATCAGTTACAACAGTGCACAGTTATCTTACAATATATATCATGCACATAAAAAAAAATCAAGACGCATAAGTGACCACTATTTATTCATACAGTAATGGTACACAGATTCATTTAAGTGCAAAAAAAATGTGCAAAAATGTATTTATCATTCACTACTGCAGTTGTTGTTGCTCATGGTGGCCTAAGTAATCTATTACAATCTGTACAGGAAATGATAGCTAATTGTTGGTTACCCTGATCTGTACTGCTTTTTTTTTATAAGGATTGAAAGCAAAACTGCACTGAATTAAATATGCTATTCACAGCTACTTGGGATCACTTTCTGTATTTGTTCAAATTTGTTCAGATATATATGAGAAAATGACAATATAGTATGATCTATCAGTTAGTATGATACCAACAAGTCAGGTGTTAATCTTAAATCACGAACTAAAATTAAACATGTCACTGGAATGTGAACATAAAACTGGATTAGAATTTTTTTTATCTGAATTTAAATAAACTTTGTATGTTTTGTAGGGTCTAGAAATGTCAATGAGAATGTGGATTCTTCCACAAAAAACAAAGAAGAATTTTCTGGTGAAGGTCTGGTAAAGCAAACAGATCTTGAATTAAAAGAAGAAGGGTTTGATAAAACACCTAAAACCCTCCCGAAACCAGAACCTGTTAAAGGCTTTTACGGTACATCATCATCAAAAATCAGCGCTGTTGTGGGGGGCCCAAGTTCTGTCCGTAAGTGTATTAAGCTCAAAATTTTACATTTTGCAATAAAACTAATTATTAAACTAAGTATTAAAGATGTATAGTGCTGTACAGGGCTCCATTTTGTAAAAGTATTAACTCCTATTCTTCCCAGACTATTATCTAACAAAGAGTTGTTGACTATGGTTTTGACAATTTATTCCTTTTTTTGCAACAGACCTTGATGTGTTGTGTGACATGTATTCAAGGTACATATTTTACTGATGTGCAACGTTTTCGTAATGCAAAGATTAAAACATTGTCCTAGACCAGAGGTACCCAAAAGGTAGATCCCCAGATATTTTAAAACGACATATTCAATGATGCTCTAAAGGCACGCAAAGTTTCATGGGAGTAGTAGTTCTACAACATCTGGGGATCTACCTTTTGGGCAACTCTATTCTAGACACTATTGCTGTGAGAGATTTCACAACTTCCCTAGAATGCCATACAAAATGTTCAAATTGGTATATTTCAGATGTGATATTTCTGTAGAGTCCTTTTGCACTGGACTTAAATTGAAAAACAGAGATTTTTCTGCCAATGCCCAAATTGGTAAAATAATTAGATGTTCAGCCACATCATGGAGAGCTGTTTCTGGGCTCAGGGTCTTTTAAAGTTCACAGTGCAAGTTTTGCTTACAATTTTATTTGTGCTTATTGCATATTCTACATTGGAATTCTAGGAAAATTGTGGAAGTAAAAAGTCTAAAGACTCCTGTCTCTGGTGCAAGTTAATTTGTGAAATTTGTAAAATTTGTCTTATGCACGGCTTTTTAAGAATTACCTTAGCAGCATTATATGTCAGAATGTGAAAAAAAATGAAAAAAAATTAAATTAGTATCAGCACTTAGCAGATAATCCCTTAATTAACAGATGTAGAGACAGAAATTATTGATCTCTCAATATGATAATAAGTATTATAGATGAAATGTCCCAGAGTCAATATTCAATAGAGATAAGTCCAAAAATCAATATCAGTTAAGGATATCTCCACGTTGTAAGGGGAATTCTGATGGTTAGAGAATAGCCTGTGTCCTCTCTGGCTGTGTTCCGTATTGTCTGCTGTGTTATTGTATCCAACCTTAAATCAAAAAGGATACTAACATAGTGTAAAAAAGTAACAGTTTATCTCCCATGCACAAAACCCCTCTACATAATAACTCTAACAGGATAATGTGGTGAGACTTCTTTTTTAAGTGTCACAAATAAAGCATTGGTACAATACGGTATACTTGTGGGTTGATGATTGTTAACTGCTCTGCTGGTGTCAATGTGCTGATCGGTCCTGTGCACTTGAACCGATCTTGCTGCAGGGATACCGGCTGACAGGTCCTACCGTATTGGGTTTTGCACGTTGAACCCGGGCTTTCTCAAAATGGATAATCTGGGGGATTGGGATTGCTTATATACACCCTTTAATTGCCAATCCTCGATGTGGGTGCATATTATAAAATATATCTGATATGATGTGTCAACGTACATTATAGTAAAAGAAGCTGACTCTCCAATATATTCATTCGATTATATTGACTCGTAAACAAAAACTTGTCATCATTGTAGCATTTCTTATGTATAAACCTTGTGTAACGGCTTTCTGATTGTGATGGTTTATGTCTTAACAAGCATTTTATTATTCAGCCTGAGTTGTCTTTGTTTTCATATGTACATACATTAAATCCAACGAACAAAATATCTAGATACATATCAAATCTACAGGATATGTTACAGCAAACATTTAACTATGTAGAAGAGCCGAAAGATCCCTCTCAACCACTCTCCAAAATGGTTTTATGGCCGGACAGGTCCACCAGATATGTAGCATAGTTCCAACATCTGTCTGACATCTCTCCAGAATCAAAAATAACCCTTATGGCTATGATCTTTAAACCTAATATGTCAGAATGTGTATACATCAGTGAAAAATTCGTTCTCACTTTACTTAGAATACAAGGGACGTATCAGTCCTCTACATTTGTGTATTTGTTCAACTGTGATTGCAGCAAAACACCATTTCCCTTTGTTCCCTATAACGTTCCCTTTTCCATTATTTTGCTACTTGGTTTATTGTATTTCAGGTATACACCCTTTATCTATCCATAGTATTTGGTAAATCCCATTAATCATAGTTGATTTTGTATACGCCTAAACCACTACTGATCATGCATCAGTATGTTGGCATTACATGGTAAAACCAGTTGTGGTTGAAAAAATTATGCTTCTCCATATGATGGGGAATATTACTATATAATAAATAAATTACTGCTAGACAATGCCAGAAATCATCTTTATTGTCAGTGCTGTAAGAACAAAGATTTAATGAAGACAGTATTGCAGGAAAATAAAAATTTAATTTTTTTCCCTGTTTTTATTTTTATTGTTAACTTTATTTCTCAGGTTATCACACATGTGGAGTACCTAGTATTCGCAGAGATCTTGTCCCTCCTCACATTCGCAAAATTAGTGATAGATACAATTATGGAGATGAGTCTGGTGCCTTCAAACTGATACGCCCATCTATCTTTGAGCAAAACATGGTCAGTGAAAGAGATCTTTTAAAGCCCCGCTCAAAAGAAGAGGTAATTTACAAATGATTTATGATGTTAGTAGAAGCATTACCTTTGTATTTTGATATATTAACTTTAAATAGCATTTAATAAATAAAAGCTAGCTTTCCCTGTGCCTGTGACTGCGGACTTCATTGCTTACTATAGATTACTACATTCACATGAATTCTTCTAAGTGTTGGTCAAACTCTTTCATCAGCAGCCGTAGCACCCAGCCATATTTCAACAATGATCACAGCCATGTTTTTTCATTCCTAATTACTCTTGCTCCATCAATTCCCCTTTTTTGGGTTCTACTGTCTGAAGATGATATTGTTTGTTGGCCCCTGTCACCCAGTGCTACTTCACCTAATTATTGGTGATATTAAGGAGTTTGCAACTTGCTGTCTAAACTTCATACATCTATATATTTACGTTACATGCTGCCATGTAAATTAATTGTGGAACGTAAAAGTCGAGTGTGAAAAAATAAAAACAAGCTGAAGTAATTAAAATTACTGAGAACTTCAAAATCTGACATGACGTGCCATTATTTCTCAAGTTTTCTTTTACATTTTTTTTTCCAAAAGTCTTTGTAGACAGAACTGGTCCCCCTAACAAAGTTCTGTTCACAACAGTCTCCTCTCATTCTCTCTTGAGAGTTTGTAGACAATTCTGAGGTAAACCATAAAAAAGTGTTTTGCAGACTTTCCTAGCTTTGAGAACCCGTTAAGTCATCTCTTTTTACTAAACTGCTGATTATTAATTTAAAATATTTTCTTTCTCATATAGATTACAGAGATACTGCGTAACATTGGTTTTAGTATTTCCAATGACAATTTTGACCAGCTATGGAATTTGGCCTCAGATATTCATCCAAGAGGAGAAGTTTGTGTTGAGACAATAAGAAATGCGTTGGATCATATGCAGGCACCTCAAATCATAATGGGGTCTTGAACAGAAGACTTGTGTTTGTGTTAAAAATCAGAATAAAATTGGATCTTGAGCACTGTTGAACTTGTTACTGAATTTTTTTTGCAATATTAAACGATATTTTGAAAATAAATTCCATGTGTCAGGTTCTTAATCAGGTTAACTTTAGGTTCTTTATTTAAAAACTTTAACATGGTTTGTCAAGAAAAACAATAAGTGTAGCAGGACTCAAAAGGAAGTGGAAATAATATAGATGAATGAGAGTAATAAGGAGAATACAAAATAGAGGGTTAGGAAATAAAGCCTATAAAGGAAGATATAGGACAAAGATAGAAAGCAGAACCTGTAAGCGAGATTATAGGTAAGTACTTGATGTATATAAAATAAAGAGTTCAGGCAATAAGCCCCAGACAGTTAATTTAGTAGCGGAAAAACCTTTAAAGGGACACTGTAGTCACTATAACCACTTTGTCTCTTTGAATTGGTTATAGTGCCTGGAGTGGCCTGGCACTGTCCCTCCATTCAGTGTTGCACCATGTTTGTGCAGTATGCCACAAAATAAGAGTCCCTGGCCACCCACAGTCCGGCCCCTTCTGTATGTGTAGCTAAGGCAGAGATTACACACTTCCTTGTTGTCATACCCATTCATACCGTCAGTTGGAGCTCTGACGGGTTAAAAGCAGTCAGCTGACACTCTCAGCCAATCACAGCTGCCCATTGCCTCTCAGGGTAATACTTCCTTATTAGCCAAAGCAGCACAGAGGGGATAGACTGCCGTGGACTCTTGTTTAGCATTTAAATATTACAACATTAAAAACTGTTTAATGCTGAAAGAAATGATGGTACCAGAAGACTCCATACACAATAAAAAGTTTAATGAGATGAAGCAGATACAGTGCCTACAGTGTCCCTTTAAGTGAGATTATAGGCAATAGATAGAAGTTATAGGTAGAAGGTAGTAGGAGAACCTATAAGTGAGATTATAGGTAAGTATAAAGAGATAAAACAGAAATAAAGAGTTTAGACAATATGCCCCAGGCAGGTTATTAGATAACAGGGAAAGCTATAATTGAGATTATAGGTAAATAAAGAGAAGGAAAACCTATAAATGAAATTATAGGTTGCAGGTAAACCAAATATAACAATACAGAACTACACAGAATATAAAGGTTTAAGGAATACAGGTTAGTTAGACGTTTAGGGGATATTTTAACAATTTATTCTTTATAAAACCATAGACGGCATCTTATAAATAATAGTTATTTATCCTATATTAATATCCTAGATATGCATAGCCTGTTCGGATTAATGTTATGCTACATTTGTATTTTTAACAAGATTAACTTGGCAGTGAGGGAGTTATTGGCACGATTGTTAAAAATGTTTTTATAATATTTACTGAGAGCTTGTACATATCACGCAAGATAAAAGGGTATGTATTACTTCCGAATTGTCTATATAGCAAGAAAAAAATAACCTAAATAAATCTTTACTATTTTTATTTGAAGCAGAAGTGGTCATATGCTGCTGTTCTAATTGTTTGATTCTTATTCATCTATTAGCTCGCTGGCAAATTTACTTGTTTTCCTCCGCCAAATTTTTCTAGTCAATTCCACTGCTGAGAAAAATAATACTGTTCAGACAGTGTGTCTGGAAAATCAAAATGAGGACTAAATAAAAAAGAGTCTCATTTCGTTTGCCAGTATGTTCTTGCTGAGTGAATAGAGGCTTCCTGTTGAAGTCAGATTTGAAGAGAACTTGAATCAATGCTTCTCCAACCTTTTCATCACTCTAAAATCCATTATGGTAGGTCTCAGAACAGGCTATTGAATTCTGCCTTGCTTTGACTCACAATATGCACAGTCGTGTAGATATGAGAGCTTTGTTGGAATGTAAGCGACTTTATCAAATTGTAGCACTGAAAGAATTTTGGAGGGCTTTCCTTATGAATACACAGCTTATTGTTTGCATCTATAGAACCAAATAAACTTTTTTTTTTTATTGCAATCCTAGTAATCAAATCAAGCTTTATATATAAATATTTGTTCATTTCAAAATATATATATATTTGTTTTTTAAGGGACATATCAAATCGCTAAGGTGCTACAATTTATCTGTAGTACAAGTACCAAAGCTGGAATTCGCAGACATGAGCATTCTGGCACTCGTCTCCTGGGGTAAGCATCAGGATTCCGGGTTAACAAAAGTAGAGAGGAAATGAGTGCTTTGTATGGAGGGAAGAAAAAAGTGATATGGGTGAAGGGGACAGAGACAGAGGATATACATCAGGGGAAACATAAATGTAGACAAGGGAATAGAAGAGGGAAAAACAAAATTAGTTCTGATCTTAATTTTATTTGTTTTCTGCATAAGATATGACACTCAAGTTCAAAACCCAGCATTCTCACAGGGCATCATTGTGCATATTTTTTCATTGTCTTCTCTCCTCTTGTCATATTTTCTCATTTTGCTGTTTCCATTGTTCCGTTGTCTACACAGCTGTATATGACACCATAACTGTCAGGTGCCATCTTGTGCTGTTTTTCATTTTCATGCAGAAAGGCTGTATTTTGATTGACATCAACATCATGTCTTTATGTACATATAAACTAAGGTGTCTGGGCAGCAAATATTATCCCGAGGGCTGGTACAGCAGCTGTATCTGCTAGTATGTTTTATTTGTGCAACAAAATCATAGGTGAATCTACTGGCTGCAGCTATTAGCATACTCCAATAGCTTGTAATAGTTTCTCTTATGTTTTTGGAAAGTACATGCTTGGAACAGCAAAAGAGATGTAAGAAAATAACGGTTTTGGGCCAGGTGTAGCAGCTCTGTTAGTCTTGGCTATAAATACTTATTTTTAGTTATAATATAATATCTGTGCTATTATTCCCTGTAATGCATGGTTAATAATACATAGATCTAACTCCCCCAATACGTGTTGGAGATGTCAGACAGATGTTGGAACTATGCTACATACCTGGTGGACCTGTCTGGCCATAAAACCATTTTGGAGAGTGGTTGAGAGGGACCTTTAGGATCTTCTGCAGACCCCACAACATCTCACACCTGAACTATGCCTACTGTTAATGGGCTTAGAACAAGAATCCCGGGTACACTCTAAACTCAACTTCCAGGTTCTAATTGCAGCACACACCCTTATAGCACATGCATGGAAGGACCACAGGCACCTGACAGAAAGACACTACATGCACAGTTTACCACAAACTGGTATTCCGAAACCATGTGACACAACCATATGACCCCTAACAAGGTCCCCATAGAGGCCAGAAAAGTGTGGGAAAACTACTTTTCCCGTTAGGTAAACACGGGGACCTATGAGTGGGCATATCGATCCAACTAGGTGAATTGTCTGCAATTCTGTTTCAGAGGGCCCTCTGGGATTACTCTAGGTCAAGGCTAAATACTATAAAAAAAAGGTCGTAGGTCTACTTGTGTGTATATATATATATATATATATATATATATATATTTGCGAACTGCTCTACCACCAGTTAAACAATATGAGAAGAGTACCCTAGACATGGCAGCAAATGTTTCCCCCTTCCCCTTCTTTTCCCTGGCAGCCCGTTGTAATGCAGCCCGCACCCAAAAGCACAGGTAGCCACAGCCTCCAGCAATGACTGGGTTAAACAACAGCTAGCACAATCACTAGTGATTCTGACTCAGGCGCTGGCCATAACAGGCTACTAGGCCATAGTCTTAGCCTATATTTCTGCACTGGGGATCTATTGAACACGGGAAAGTACCACACAACAGTACCCCCAGAGTAAAGTCCTCCTGTTAACTCCTACACTACCATAGCATACTGCACTATCACTAAACATAAACCACTACAATGCAGATTAACACCTACACTACCATAACACTAAACATTGATCCTAGACCAGGCATAAACACTTACACTACACGAACACTAAACATTAACACCACACATTAACCCCTACACTAAACTAATGCTAAACATTAACCATTACACTACCCTAACAAAACCATTAGCAACTACACTACCTTTATCCTACGTGTAAATCTCTAGACCTTTGATCTTGATGCCTCCAGAACTCATCAATGTCATGTTCTTACACTGCACAATTCACCACTATATACCACCTACATTATAACTGGAAGCATTTGAGGTTTATGATAAACAAATTTAAAATAATCTTGCAAAATAAATTAGAAATGTTACAATTTAAAGGTGTCTGGACAATCTGCTTGGTCTGGGCACTGCCTTGAGAGAAATACGGTTGTGCTAGAGACGTCGTCTCTAATGATTTTGTAAGAAGGGAGAATTAGTGCCACAGAAGGTCCTTTGATAGAGCTCATTTTTCCAACTCATTACCAAGCCAACACTGCATTTAACATTGAACTGTGGTGAATTGGAAATGAATTGCGCAAATCACATCGAAATAGCTGAGATAGAAAAATTCTCTAATTCAGTTCAGAAGCAATGAGTCATTTCAAACAAGCATCCAGATCCGAAAGTGGGACCTATTTTTGTCATTGTGTGAAATAATAAACCTCCCATTGCTTACTTCACTACTGCACCCCTACTGCGCTCCTACTTTTACATGATTAAATGTAACATTATATTTTAGACATTTTACGACTATACCTTTTTCAAATGCCAGATTATGCAAAATAGACGTGCTGCTGTGTTTTATAGAAGAAATATTTCCATGATAATATGCTGATATTTCACTTCATGCAGAGCTTACCTACAAAGCCCTGACTCAGTCAGCACAGTTTTAACACAGTTTGGTTTAGTTCGGTTTTCTGAGTTGAGTTAAGTCTGTCAATATGGAATAATGGAATGTTGCATGAAACATTATCTTCCTGACATCAACATTGTGGTCCAGTAATATTATTGTATTATTTAATTAATTGAATGGTCTAGTTTTATTGCTTTTGGAAACCAACCCCCCTGTTTTTTCTCGTCTGTACCCCATCTTTGCTTCTTTTATGACAAAATAAAAATTATCAAATTGAAAAAAAAAAACACTGACAGGTGAAGTGAATAACATTGATTAGATTGTTACAGTGACACCGGTTAAGGGGTGGCGGAAAGTGAACAATCAGTTCTTGAATTCATGTGTAGGAAGCAGGAAAAG